ATTCAAAGTTTCTATTTCTTCCTGATTCAGTTTTGGTAGCTTATGTTTCTAGGAATTTATCCATTTCTTCTAAGTTGTCCAACTTGTCGGCATTTAGGTTTTCATAATATTCTGTTACAATTGTTTATATTGAGAAAATTCCTTTCTATTTCTAGTTTGCTGAGAACTTTTATCAGGAAATGATGTTTGATTTTAGCAAATGTTTTTTCTGTGTCTTTGCAAGTGATGATATAGTTTGACTTTCTAAATCTGTGGTGAATTACATTGAATGATTTCTGAATGTCAAACCAACCTTGCATTCCTAGAATAAATCCTACTTGATCATGATGTATTATTCTTTTTATATATGTTTGTATTCAGTTTACTAAAATTTTGTTTAGAGTTTTTGTATCTATATTCATGAGGGTTATTGGCTGATAGTTTTCTTATGAGGTTCCTATTTGGTTTTTATATTAGAGTAATACTGATGTCATAAAATGAATCAGGAAATATTCTCTTGTATCCTCTCCTCTTTAATTTTCTAGAAGAGTTTGTGAGTGCTTGGTATTTTTTCTTTCTGAAATATTTGGTAGAATTCAACAGTAAAGCCATCTTGTCCTGGGGTTTTCTTCGTAGGAAGGTTGTTGACTATATATTTAAATTTTTTAGAACATAAATGATACTCAGGTTATCCCTCTTTATAAATGAGCTTTAGTGCTTTGTATCTTCCAAAATTTTGATTATTTTATCTAAGTTGTTGAAATTATTGGCATAACATTGTTTATAATATTCTCTTATTATACATTTAATATCTCTAATTTCTGTAACAAGGAAACTTCCTTCACTCCTGATGTTTGTAGTGTTTTCTTTTTTCTCTCCCGATCAATCTGGCTAGAGATTCTTTTGCTTTCCTTTTTAAGTCTTGTCAAAGAGCCAGCTTTTGGTTTTATAGAGTTTCTCTGTTTTTTTTTTTTCTGTTTTCTCTTTCATGGATTTCCACTAATATATCTATCACTTCCTTTCTTATAATTGCTTTGTATTTTATTTGCTCTACTTTTTCTAGTTTCTTAAGGTGAAAACTGAAGTTATTATTTTGAGATCTTTCCTCTTTCCTATTGTAGGGTTTTCCTGTGGTAATTCATAAGTACTTCTCAAGTAGTCTCCACAAATTTTGTTATGTTACATTTTCATTATCTTGCAGTACAGAATACTTTCTAAGTTCCCTTTTGGTTTTTTCTTTGACCCATGGCATATTTAGAAAAGTGTTATGCTAGTTTGAAAATATTTGGGGATTTTCCAGATATCTTTCTATTATGTATTTTTCTAACTAGTCATTGCATTATGACAGAGAACATACTTGGTACAACTTGAATATTTCAGATTTATTGGGACTTGTTTTATGATTCAGAATATAGTCTATCTTGGTAAATATTACATGTGCACCTCAAAAGAATGAATACTGTATGTTTTTTAGTAGAATCCTGTAAATTTCAAACTAGGTAAAACTAGTGCATAATGTTCACATCTGCAATATACTTACTGATTTTTTGGTCCACTTGTTTTACCAATTATTGAGATATAAGTATTGAAATCTCTAACTACATGTGGTTTTGTTCATTTTCCCCTGCAACATTTTTTTTTTTTTTTTTTTTTTTTATAAAAATATATTATATAAATAAACATTTAGGACTGTCATGTGTTCTTTATAATTATGAAATACCATCTCTATTTTTTGTCTTAAAATCTGTTGTATCTGGTATTAATATAACCACCCCAGCTTTTTTTTTTTTTAATTAAGTTTTTATGGTATATCTTTTCCCATCCTTTTACTTGTAACTTATCTGTCATTTTCTGCTTTCCTTTCAGTGAATTGAACTTTTTATGATTCCATTTTATCTCTTGTTGACTTATTAGCTATAAATCTTTTTGAAAATACTATTTTAGTACTTGCTTTAGGGTTTGTTGTGTATGTCTTTAATTAAATAAAGTCTGTCTCGTAAGTGATAGTATATCACTTCACAGAGTATAAAAATCTTCCAACAAGAGGGACACCTGGGTAGCTCAGCTGGTTGTCTGACTTTGACTCAGGTCATGATCTTGTGGTTCATGAGTTCAAGCCCTGTGTCAGACTGTGCTGGAAAGCTTGGAACCTGGAGCCTGCTTCAGATTCTGTGTCTCCCTCTCTCTCTCTGCCCCTCTCATGCTTGTGCTCTCTCAAAAATAAATAAACATTAAAAAAAATCTTCCAACAGGATACCTTCTGTTTTTCCCTTTTCAGCCCTCATGCTATTGTTTTCATGCATTTTATTTTTGTATATATTATAAATCCCACAGTATATTGTTACTGTTTTTATTTAAATAGTCAATTACCATTTAAAGAGATTTAAATAACATGAAAAATCATCTTATATATTTATTATGTAATTACCATTTCCAGTGGGACATTTGCTATCATTTTTATCTTTGGTCTTCTGTTCATAATGTATCCTTTTTCTCTGGCTGCTTAAAACCTTTTCTCCTTACCATCTGTTTTAAGTAGTTGGATTATGATGTACTGTAGTGTAATTCTCCTCATGTTTCTTATGGTTCAAATCACTGAGCCTCTTGGGTTTATAATTTCATCAAATTTGAAAAAAATTTCCACCATGTTTTATTCAAATATTTTTTTTGTCTTCCGCTCTTTTCATCTTTAAGGAATCCATTTACATGTATATTAGGATATTTGAAATTGTTTCACAACTTACTGATGTTCTTTTTGTTTGATTGATTATTTGAGTGGTTTGATTAATTTCTGTCATTGTTTTATTTTAGATAGTTCCTATTTCTGTCTTTAAGTTCACCAATCTTTAATGTATAATGAATAATCATAATGTATAATTCCTTTAATCTTATCCAATGTACTTTCTCATACAATCAAGTTTCATCTCTAGAAATTTTATTTCTATCCTTCCATATCTCATATAGCTCTCCTTGTATATATTTATTATTTTTTTAAATTAAAGCATAATTAACCTACAGTGTTATATTAGTTTCAGGTGTACAACATAATGATTCAACAATTCAACATTTCTCACTGTTCATCAAGATAAGTGTACTCTTTATCCCCTTTGTTTATTTCTCACATCCTCCTCACCCACCTCCCCTCTGGCAACCACCAGTTCTCTGTATTTAAGAGACTGGATTTTTTGTTTGTCTCTTGTTTTGATTTATTTGTTCATTTGTTTTGTTTTGTTTCTTACATTCTTTTTATGAGTGAAATCATATGATATTTGCCTTTCTCTGCTGACATTTCACTTAGCCTTATACCCCCTAGGTCCAACCATGTTGTTGTAAATGGCAAGATTTAATTCTTTTTATGGCTAAGTAATATTCCATTATGTTCCAACATATACCACATATCCTTAATCCTATGGATTAAGTCCTATGGATGGACACTTGGGTTGCTTCCATATCTTGTCTATTATAATTATATTATAATATTATATAATATTATAATATTATAATAATTATTATAATATATAATATACAATATATAATAAAACATAATATAATATAAATATTATATAATATAAATATTATAATATTATAATAAATATTATAAAATATAATATTATAATTAATGCAATTAACACAGGAATACATATATCTCTTCAAATTAGTGTATTCTTTGAGTAAATACCCAGTAGTGGAATTACTGGATCATATGATAATTCTTTTTTAAATGTTTTTGAGGAAATTCCGTAGTGTTTTTTACAGTGGCTGACCTTATAACAATATAGTTATAATTGGTTTAATATTATTTTTAAAATTTTTGTTTTTAATATTTTTATTTGCTTTTGAGAGAGAGAGAGCGCACGAAAGGGGGAAGGACAGAAAAAGAGAGGGACAGTGGATCTGAAGTGGGCTCTGGGCTGACAGCAGAGAGGACGATGCAGGGCTGGAACTCACAAACTGTGACATCATGACCTGAGCCGAAGACTCTTAACTGACTGAGCCACCGGGGCGACCCTCTTCTATATTGTGAATCAGTTCAATTGATGGATTGTTTTTCTCATTGTAGGTTCTATTTCTCTGCTTCTTTATCTGCCTACTATCACTGTACATATTTACACTGAAAAATTCTTCATTGTTTATCTGAAACTTAAATTTAGCTAGGAATCCTGTATTTCTCTGGCAACCCTAGATCCCCCTGACCACTCCAGACTCTTATTCTTGTCTCCTTGATTTGGGGAAGCCTCCAAACCCTGCCTAGTTCTCAACCACAGCCTGGAGTCTGTCACAGCAGTAAGCTGGTGCCACTCTAAGACTCATCTTCTTTGTGCCCTCTCAGGGAATGTTGGCCTTTGGTGTCTGATATTCATTGTTTGAAACTCAGTGTTTTGTATACTTCATCCATTCTTTGGTGGTTTCACCCAGGAGAGTAAATCTGGTCCTTGTTACTCTCTCTTGGCTGTAGGTGGAAGTCCCTCCCCAGAGGCTATTGTTAATAGCCAGAGGCCAAAACATGGTGCTGATGGGGGCCAAAGCTGTGTACATTCATAGGACAGTTGGCTTTGCCCCGTGGTTTTGGGCAATCAGCTATCTAGAAAAAAGAATGCTTTGGATCAGGTGGTATCTGGTGGCTGTGAGCATCACTCAGCACCTTTGGGAAACCGGTTAGTAGCACACATCTGCTGAGAAGGTGATGGAGATGGGCTACGGGCTTATTACCAAATAAAAGAATAAATCAGCACATTGCATTATGTTATATTACTTGTCAAGTTTGGGACCCAAAGATAGGTGTGGCCGAAGGTCAGTGCTTAAGGGATTGAATGCAAATAAGTTTGGGGGCAGGGCCAGGGAGAAAAGGCAGAGAGTCTCTAGGTGATCAAACTGAGGTATAGAAATCCTTAGGAAAATTTAAGCATTCTGTTTCCCTGTCCAGTCACCAATTACGTTCTTCCTAGAAGGGGGTGGGGCACCTTTGGAAATAAAAAGAAAAGTATTTCCTCTCTTTTTTCCTTTGGCTTCTCTTGGTCCAGCCATCTGCCGCTATCCTCTGGGTATGTCAGGAGGCCACATTCCAGATGAGGACATCACAGCTTCCAGTCAGTGGTCAGAATCCACAGCTGCCAAGTACGGAAGGTGAGGATGGATAACCCCAGGAAAGCCTGAGTCCTGGGTTGCATACATTTTCTGACTCAAGGGGCTGGGGAAGAAGGGTGGGAGCTGGTAGGCATAGGGGAAGGACATCAAGTGGGCCTGTCCTGTGTATTTTCAGGGAGAGAATTCAGGGTTTAGCAGCAACACGCTGGTCTAGAGACCCTTTCCCAATCACAGGGCCGTGAGCTGTGGGATGAATGGGAATGAAGCCACAAAGGATGGTTTCATTGATATGCAGTGGGTTTGCTCTACTTCACCTTCTCAGTGTGAGCAACTGCAGGAAGCTCCCTACAGTGGCGGATTGGGGAAGGTGCAGATGAGGTAGGACACTGGAAGCTAGGAGACCTGATCCTCTTCTCAGTGGGTACCTGGGAAATATCACTCACAGTACAAAACATCAAGGCTTTAAGCAGACACGGAGGCCTCCAGCAAAGTCTTCCCTTCTCTCCAGGAGACCTCATTGAAGGGCCATCCTCATCCATGAAGAGTATGGTGGGTTCCTAGTGGCCTAGTAGGAGGGGTCCTCCAAAGCAATAAACTCCCTTGTCAAAAGCTACTCTGCTGGTTAGGGTCTAATCCTCCCGGAATCTGCTTTTTTTTTTTTTTAATGGTGTGTAGTGTTGACTTCTGTTAAAATGGAATCACCCACTGGAAAAACGACCTTAGTAAACCTCCTCTATAATTTCTTAGTATGTGAAAGATGAGAGTGATGGTTGGTGGGGTTGGAAGAGAACAGCAATGAGTAGGTTGGCATCTGTGAGGAAAGGAACATTCCAGGGAAGAGGGAAAGTGGTAAGAGGTTCCCAAAAGAAACCTTCTACTGATTTCACAATTTTGCTCCCTGGTAGCTCAGCTTGGAGGTAATAAAATGAAACCAGATCATTTTCTACTCTCCTGACACGCTCCCACCCCTCACCCTCATCATGGGTTCCCACGGTGTTCCGCTGGGCTGCCATGCCCGTCCTGTTGGTTAAAATTCCACTGCATTACATAACCCACACTGGAAATCTTATGATCCCTCCCTCCTCCTTCCTATAACTTGATATCCAAGCAAGGGGTGGCCACCCTTATTATGCTGGGCCTGAAAGAGGAAGGGGGAGGTAAAATGACTCATGGGGGAGCAGAGGGTAAAAAGAGTTTAATTTCCCTTGAGTCTTTAAATCGGGGTGAGAAATAAAGACTACATCTGATACGAAGGCCTCTAGCCCCAACGCTGTCTGTCTATCTGGGTTTCACAGTGCCCCAGGGACAGAGGACTGTCAGGCTTGAGGGGAGACCCAAAGAGTCTTTTTAGACTGGAGTCCCAACTTTTTAGATGAGTCTTGGGTTGGATATACTTTCTCCCCTCAGGACAGGGCAGCTGCTTGCTCTCTATTGGGAAAAAACTCTAGTCCCATGGTTCCTCTGTGTCTCCCCATCCCTTGTGTCAAAAGGCTGGACTCAGAAGAAGGGGATGGAGCCTGGTGCCCTGAGATTCCAGTGGAGCCTGATGACCTGAAGGAGTTCCTACAGATTGACTTGCACACCCTGCACTTTATCACTCTGGTGGGGACCCAAGGGCGCCATGCTGGGGGCCATGGCATTGAGTTTGCCCCCATGTACAAGATCAATTACAGTCGGGATGGCACTCGCTGGATCTCTTGGCGGAACCGGCATGGGAAACAGGTAGGAAGAAGAGACATCCAGACCCTGAGATGTCCAGGACCATATTTTGACTTAGGCTAGAAGAGGAAGTACACAGGCTGTCCTGTAGGTATGTGCATCCGTAGACCTGGCATGCCCTTGTCAATGTGTGACTGAGGATGAGGATGTGGGAGGGTGGGGAGGGGCTACCCGGAGGAATGTCAAGGTTGCTGGGAGAGCTGCTCCTTCTATGAAAATGAGAGGGTCCACGAACGGGGTGAAGAAGAATCAGCATAACCTCCCAGCATCTCCCTACTCTTTCTCTTGTCTCTCCTCAGGTGCTGGATGGGAATAGTAACCCCTATGACATTTTCCTAAAGGACTTGGAGCCACCCATCGTGGCCAGATTTGTCCGCTTCATTCCAGTCACTGACCACTCCATGAACGTGTGCATGCGGGTGGAGCTTTATGGCTGTGTCTGGCTAGGTAGGTCTCTAGAGGCAGAGCTTCTGGACCTTTCTATAATCCCCAGCTCCTAGAATATAAGGGCAATCGAGTCAGAAAGGTGTGGGATTCATAATCTCTGGAGTGAAGTGGTTCCCTGTAGGTTAGGCTCAAGAAAGGACATTGTTCCTCCCCCTAAGGCTTTATTCCACTCCTGGAATAATCCATCCCGAGTCACTTCACTGACTGCTCCTGAGGAGTGCTCCTCAGCAGTGCTCCCTTTGGACCCAGCTTGAGTCCTGTGTGGACACACCATACCTTTGGAGTCTCACGTAGCTCCCTGGGAAAGTCAGTCTGAGCTGTAGGTACACTTCCTTCCCAAAGGCGCTAACACATGTGTGTTTCCTTTGACAGATGGCTTGGTGTCTTATAATGCTCCAGCTGGACAGCAATTTGTACTCCCCGGAGGCTCTGTCATTTATCTGAATGATTCTGTCTATGATGGAGCCGTTGGGTACAGGTAAGTCCTGGAAAACTATGGTCATCAGAATGGGAAAGGGGCCACTAGAAGAAAGTACTATTTTATTATGGTTTGGGATCGATAACCAATCAACTGGTCAACCAACTAGTGTTTGTTTAAGCCCCGTACGAGGCATTGTGAAATAACTTAGATGAAGTAAAGTATGGAGTCTTTATCTGCAAGAAACTTAGAGCCTAGTTTGGGAAGACAAAGGAAACAATAAATTACACAAAACAAGAGCTGAAATAGTAGTTATGGCTCCAGGTATGGTAGCCATTTAAAAACATTTTTTTTTTAATGTTTATTTATTTTTGAGACAGAGAGAGACAGAGTGTGAACAAGGGAGGGGCAGAGAGAGAGAGAGGGAGACACAGAATCTGAAACAGGCTCCAGGCTCTGAGTGGGCAGCACAGAATCCAATGTGGGGCTCGAACCCAGGAACCATGAGATCATGACCTGAGCCGAAGTAGGATGCTTAGCCGACTGAGCCACCCAGGCGCCCCTATATTTTTTTGACCTTTAATTTTTTAATATTTTTTGACCTGTCCTTTACAACAGGACATATGGACACTAATAACTAGTAAAAAACAGGACACTAATAATGGCCTACTTATGGAGACAAAGGGCCAGAAGGATTGAAGTTATAAGTATAATAAATTGGACAGGTCAAGAAGTTCAGGAAGAATGAACCCCATAAATATAAATGTTTAGCAGTTATGAAAAGGACACCTGTAAGGCTTATAACAGACAAGGAGAGTTTCCATGATGAGATGATAATTAGAGCAGGGGAGGCAGGTAGCAGGGAGCAGAGGAAAGAAAGCAGGCTTGACTGCAGCAGCAGCTCGACTGGGGACAGCAGGAGGGACCAGTGCGTAGTCCTGAGGTGGACCTAGGGAGGGCCACGGCGGAGGAGCATGGACACAGTGGGAATTTAGGATTGGATGAGAGGTTTTCCTACCTAACTCATGTCACTCTGAGCCTTGCCGTTTTTCTTCTAGTCCACCTTTCTCTCTCTTAACTTGGTCTTTGTCTACAAAGATTGAGCCTGGGAGAGAGGTTAAATCCGGTCTAGATGATGGAGGTTTCTAGTGGTTAAGAGAGGGAGAGGTTAGTCTCAGGCAGGGGAATGAGGGATTACAATGCTTCCACTGTCTTAGGTGTGAAGAATAAACTCTTGCCCCACCAACTGCCGTCCCCTGAAGGAAGACCTGACTCATCCAGTATTCAATTTCCAGCTACTTCCTTTCCGTGTGCTTAGTCACCGTTCTTCCCCGTAGCCTACACTGGGCATCATTTCCCTCAGCCACACCCCAAACTGGCATATGCTTGAGGCTAGGGGAAATCAGAGATCAACTGAATTCAGTTTAGTCTAATAAATCTTTGCTAATCCACTGTTACTACCTGCGAGGAATTTGGCCGGACTTGGTAGGTATTCAAACACAAGGAAGCCCTTGATCTTACCTTTAAGAAGCTCACAGTTAGGAATGGGGACTAAATCAGGATATAAATTGCTGTGATATAAGCATTGGAGTAAGAGATCGTAAGAGTGCTCTGGGGATCAAGGGAAAGAGGAAGCCACGGTAGGGGAAAGCCACGGTAGGATAAAGCACAGCACCGGGAGTGAAAACACCGGGTGTTGTCACATAATAAAAGTCACTTCTGTTTGCTAAAGTGATAAAAATGTGTAAGAAAAGCATTCTGTAAAGGTAAAGTGCTAAATGCATATAAGGTTTTATCTGATTGGAAAACCAGCAGACATGATGGAATTAAATGAAATCTGAAGGAGGCACCAAAGGATGGGTGGAACTTTCGCAGGTAAAGAATCTTGAAATGGCGTTTTAGGCAGAGTCAATAGCATAGGGACAGAAGGACGACCCTGTGAAGTTTAGGGGAGTGCCTGGTAAAGGCCAACAGTTTAGCGAACCCCCAGCCATACTTCTGTAGCAAAATAGTGGATGATTCTGCACTATAGGACAGGTTCCATCAGATTTTGGAGGAACTTGAATGTCAGGGCTAGGAGGAAGAGGAGGGGGAGTTGATTTTCTCTTCGTCAACATAATCATTGACAGAACACATCACTGAAGATTTTTAAAGCTGGGGAAGGACGTGGGCAGAAATGGAAAACTTAGGTGAAGGATTTCATTTAGAATGGGGCGATGATGGGGTTAGTTTGGGATATAAGTTTAAGGGACTGTCAAGACGTTCAAATAGATAAGTAAGGCAGGTAACTGGTAACAGAAGGAAAGATCAAGAATACAGAGATTTAGATACAGACTTCCTGCACTTGATAACTGTGGTAGTGAGATATATATCCCTTTGACGTGTGTCTGAGTGATGAGGTATAAGTCACCTAATTCAGAGTCTCAGGAATAGATAGTTTTAGTAGCAAAAGTTCCTTTTTTTTAACTAAAAAAATTATAGAAGTAGTATGTTCTCGTTGTAGTAATCCTAATGATTCTAAAGGATATGAAGTAAACAGGGAAAGTTTCTTTGCTTATCCTATCCCCATTCGATTTAATTTTGACTACGAGAAATTACTTTTTAATTTGTGTTGCTTTTCATAAGAGTTTCATGGGGATTTATTATTCTGGGGACAATGGGAAATATATTTATTGCAAGTAAACTTATGTTCTCCCAGCCTTCTGATCTGTAGAGAGAAGAAAAAGATGGCAAATCCTTGGAAGGGACACCCAAGCTCTGGTCACTGTGGATAAGGCCAGTCAAATTTTATAATTTGCCAAACATTTTTCAATGAACAAACAAAAGTGTACCTGTAAGGCTGGCATAATCACCAATCATTATTATTATTTTTTTGTAAATTCATAACTTTTGTCTAACCTCAAGGGGCACTTGCATTATTGCTTGAGGGTGAGTATCCCAATTTCTTCATTTGGGAGACTCCTGATTCATTGTTTAGAGCTTGAAAGGCAGAGCTTGAGGAGAGAGAACTTCCAGGAATTCCTTGCTCTGTCTCTCCATAAAGAAGCAAGAAGATCTCTATGTTCCTCAGATAGTCAATCTGACATAAACACCCAATCATCCCGTATACCAATCAAGCAAAGCCTTACAATCGGAAGTGGAAAGACTGCCAAGCTAGAAAACAAGACTAAATCCAATTTCTGAGACCCTCACGTAAATAATGCATTTTATTCCATGAGCCTAGTATTCTACCACTTTAATTAAAATTACATCTAAATTAGTACTTGAATTTGGCATTGATTACTTTTTTTTTCCCCTTTAGTTTGACCTCAAGTTGGGTTGCTGGATGTGGGGTGGAATCGGACATGACTAGCTTTTCTGGAATTGATTCACTGAAAAATGACAACATACAGTTGTCATACAGAAACATTTCCAACAAGCTCTGAGACTGCTTAGTGATGGTCAAATGCTACCATCTACTGTAGTGTTCATTCTATGCATTGATCCATCCATTCCCTCATTTACTCGTTAATGGATTCATTAATCAAATGCGTTTGATAATGTCGAATAAAAGCTGGCTGTATTCAGTATGCAAGAATAGGTAAGGATACAATAGATTATAGAAAGCTTTTCTTATAAAATGGTAAAATATTTTTAAAAGCTTTCCTACTAAAAGAGTAAGCATTAAGTACTTCGTAAAATTCATTGGTATGAATTATTTGTTCTCCATTGATGCAGGATAAATGAGTCAATTCTATAAAATATAATGGATTTTTTTTTCATAATCCTTCAAGCTTCAAGATAATCAACTCTTACAAAACCCCGGGGTAAAGAAGCTGGGTAAAAGCGCTTCCATGAATGTGTAATTAACTCCAGGTTCCTTTCTCCCTTTCCCTTCTCTTCCTCTGGCCTGAGCAGCATGACCGAAGGGTTGGGCCAGCTGACAGATGGGGTGTCAGGCCTGGACGATTTCACTCAGACCCATGAATACCACGTGTGGCCAGGCTATGACTATGTGGGCTGGAGGAACGAGAGTGCCCCCGGTGGTTACATCGAGATCATGTTTGAATTTGACCGCATCCGGAATTTCACCACCATGAAGGTCAGTGGAGTTAGGTGTGGTGGAAGGTTTCCAAGGAAGCCAAAATAATGGTGAAGAGAAAAGGCTTGCTAGAAAGAATGCTGGGTGTTGCCAGCAGAGCTGGATTCAGATAGGTGTTCTGCTACTAGCTACCTGTGCTTCACAAGTCCCTGTGCGCTTCTTGCTTCACTTGTGAAAAAGGGGCTTGGTCTAGGTCGCTGTTTCTCAATGTATTTTGTCGTTGTTCCGGCATCAGAGTCTAAGTGCCATTAGGTCTGGCTCCAGTGTCTAGAGCCCACCATACTTTTAAGGCCTATGGAAATGTTTTAACTTCTTTTAACATCGGGGAAAAAGGATCTTTTAGGGTCAAAAATTATTATTTTCGTCTGTTGAACAACATGGTTTAAAAATACAATTTTAATTTTTTTTATGGAGGGAGGGACCCACAAAAGCAAAAGTAACTAGAGTCCATGGCAATCATTTTATGGCTCTGCCCAGCGCTCCCCAGGGACAAGACATCCTTTTATCAGTAAAGCTGGCTCATTGCAGCTCTGATTCTCACTGGAAGAATTGAGTATTTTGTATTTTGGCTTTGGAATCATTTCCCACCCCTACCCTGTTTCTTCTACCCATGCATAATTTCTCAGGAGAAATCATGATAGAAGCCTCCATTCTCTTCTGTCTCCAGAGTTATTTGTTTCTTTATCTATGGCAACAACACATCTGTCTGGTCGCCTTACTAGATTTCAAGCTCCTCCGACCTGAACTCTAAGCTTGAGGAAAACTGGGGCTTAGCAGTAGAAAGTCCTTTTGTTGAATGTAACAGAGACCCCTGAAATTTTCATGGGTCACATATACTCTTACTGGTCTGTGAAGGGGCCTTAGAGGAATTCCAATTTGAGGCCCAGGAAAGAGAGAGGGCAAGTAAATTTGACCTCACACATGGCTCCTATCTATCTGTTATTTCACCTGTTAATAGTTGGGGACAGAATATTAATGGCCAACCAATTGGTGACTTTGCCTTTATTTACACCCAGTCTTCTGCTTCAAATATATGTGTCCTAAATTCATTCCTCTATCTTTGCTCTAAATTTAGCTCCAGTATTTGGAGTATACATAGCGCTAGACTAAGTTCTGGGGGTAAACGGATGAGTAAGAACTCATCCCTGCCTTGGGATGACTTGCAGTTCAGTGGGACAAGGTGCTATTTATTTGCAAAAGGGGACATGTAGGATGACATGGGGCCCCGAAGAAGGAAGTCTGTGTCATCATTTTATTTTATTTTTTATTTTATTTTTTTAAATGTTTATTTTTGAGAGAGACAGAGACAGAGACAGAGACAGACAGAGACAGAGCATGGGCAAGGGAGGGGCAGAGAGAGAGAGGGAGACACAGAATCAAAAGTAGGCTCCAGGCTCTGAACTGTCAGCACAGAGCCCAATGGGAGGCTTGAACCCACAGACCATGAGATCATGACCTGAGCCAAGGTCGGATGCTCCACCCACTGAGCCATCCAGACACTCCTCTGTGTCATCATTAAAGGCTCTTAGTAGATCAAAATTTGCCATTCTTGGCACAAACTTGGAGTCAAAAAGAAAATCCATTATATGACTATTATATTACCCTATTATATACTCTCTATTCTATTCTAATACTATTATATTACTATTATATAAGTATAATGTTATAATTATATTACTCTCTATTATACTACTATAACTCTCACATGTAAATGTGATAATATTTCCTAGCTGGAATAATAGCCATTAATTAAATGGACAGACATTTAAGATGAGAATAGAGCATGAACACGTGTGCATCTGCCTGTGTATTGTTCAAGGATGGCTCCTTGGCAGTTATAAAACATACCTGTGTGCAATTGTATAACATATTATTCTTCACAGTTCTTCTGGGGGGGGCAGAAGTGGATACGCATAGTAACAAAAATATACCTCAAGGGAAAATTTATTTATATCACTGAATAATGATATACCCACATGCACTTATGAATATGCATATCAATTCACAAAAATATGCCATTGGGATAATTTGTAGTCTCACAATTAATATGTATTTTAAACTCTCCATGAAGTTAGAATATTTAGTCAGTAGACTTTGATCTTCCTGACCCCCCCCCACCGAGCTCCTTTTTAACTAATTCGTCACACGTCAAAATGACTCAAAAGCATATTCTGCACTACGCAGGTTGAAGAAACTTCTAAGGAGCTAACTCAGGGTCAGTCTTGTTGAGGCCAAACAGGTCTCTAGCGTATTTTAATTTTCCTGAGACAAATAAAATGTAAAAGATGACTTTCAGGTCACTAACATCTTCCAGAGAGTAGTTATTGCTTTCTAGGCAAATTATTACTCCTTCTCCCCACTCCTGAAGTATAGTCAAAATATACCATTGACATATGTTAGTTTATTTTTAAAATGTATTGTATTTATTAAGTAAATATGTAAGTCCATAGGGGAATGAAATTATATACTATTTATTTGCATTCCAGGAGAATTCCCCAAACATCTGTAGAATATATCATTACCTCCCCTACAGGCTACTTATACAACAGGTTGCAGATTTCAATGTTTATTTATTTTTGAGAGAGAGAGGCAGAGAGAGAAGGAACCACAGAGTCTGAAGCAGGCTCCAGGCTCTGACCTGTCAGCACAGAGCTTGACATGGGGCTCAAACCCACCAACCGTGAGATCATGACCTGAGCTGAAGCTGGACGCTACACTGACTGAGCCACCCAGGCGCCTCTAACATTTTGCAGATTTAAAAAAAAAATCTGAAAAATCTATTGAAGCTGTAGTTGGTATTTTGTTTCTTAGTCTTGCTCCATTGACTTGTGCTCAATAAACTGGAATGGCTAATCCATCCCAAGAAAGGTACTAACAGATGTTTTCATCATTAAAACCTTTACAGGAAAATCCAAATGGAAAAGTTAGGGCGACTTGTTCCATTTCTGTGTGGCATGGTATTGGCAGGATCATTGGACTAGGCATATAGGGTTCTAGACTGTTCTGTTGTTGACTGGCCACTGGCAGACCAAACTTATCTGAGCACTAGCTCATTAGGAAATAAGTCCAAGTAGGTGATTTTATTCTGTTTTTATTTTTTTTTTTTTTCAGAACATCTCTGCTCATTTCTTTGATCATAAAATTTTTATCATCATTGCTGCTGCTTCTTCAGCTGAAAATAAACTCTGAACGGGAGTCCTGTGTTTATCATCCAGAAAGCAGAGAAGGGTATCAAAGACAGTTGAAGGGTTACAGTTTAGGGCCTGAGCAAGACATTAAAATGCAAATAGCAAATGTATTCCCAGAATGGCAATGATGCTTTTCCAACCCTATGAAGTCTTTTATTTTAATTTTTATTCTTTATAATGTTTATTTATTTTTGAGAGAGAGAGAGAGAGAACAGAAGACGGGCAGAGAGAGAGGGAGACACAGAATCCGAAGCAGGCTCCAGTCTCTGAGCTGTCAGCACAGAGCCCCATGCAGGGCTCGAACTCACAAGCCATGAGATCATGACTTGAGCTGAAGCTGGACGCTTAATCAACTGAGCCACCCAGGCGCCCCTGACCTGTGAACTCTTTTAATTCAGGGGATAGTGACCAGCAAAGCCCCACTTTCCATGTATGACTGAGCCGGAGGAAATGTCCCTGAATGGTCACGAGGGACCTGACCTAGTTACAAACATGCATGTTCCGTTGTTGAGGGATGTTAAACACAGGACGGTGTTCCAGAGGAACGGCTATGGGATCTTTGTTTTTATGACCTTTTAAAAGCCATACAAATAGCCTGGCGAAAGAGCCACGGCAGCAGGCAAGAAGATACAAGTTACTTTCCAAAAGACCTTCTTATCTTAGAAAATATCTGTGAGGAAGGTTCCATGCCCTTCTCAGAATGACTTTACCTAAACTGAATTTAATTACAATAGATACTTCAGTCTTGTGTCCCTGGCTGAAAACTGCTAATACGCAGCACTTGACGCAAGATTTCTAAAGAGAAAGCTGAATTTGTTTTCACACTGTGTATTATTTCCGGTTTCTCAACTTCCTGTTAGAAGGGGTGGACTGGCTTCAGCATGTACCTGGGAGGAAGGAGGAGGGCGGGCTCCCCTTACCTCAGTCAAAATAGCTTGATTCTGGGTGGAAAGCAAATGGGCTGGAGAGGATTAGAGACTTGGGAGTGTTAAGGGGAAGGAAGGACCCAAGAGGACGCTGGTCCAGCCCTCATTTAGCAGATGAGGCAACAGGAAATGAGGTGGCCAGGGGCACACAGGTGCAGAGAGGTGACTGGGGAAAACACCCCTGTTTTGGAGGATCAGACCAATGCATCACGCCACTGTGAAGTTCCTGGAGGGACAGGTCCAAAAGACAGCAGAGCACCAACTATCCACCCGAGGGTGGTGCTTGGAGAAACTGCCGGGGCTAGGATTTTGCTGGGTTAGGTTGTCCCTGTCCCTCTGCCACTCATTGGTATCAGCCTGTCACTCAAACACCCCTTTCCCTGCCAGGTCCACTGCAACAACATGTTTGCTAAAGGAGTGAAGATTTTTAAGGAGGTGCAGTGCTACTTCCGCTCTGAAGCCAACGAGTGGGAACCTAACGCCGTGTCCTTCCCCCTTGTCCTGGACGACGTCAACCCCAGTGCTCGCTTTGTCACGGTGCCCCTCCACCACCGCATGGCCAGCGCCATCAAGTGCCAGTACCATTTTGCTGACACCTGGATGATGTTCAGTGAGATCACCTTCCAATCAGGTTGGGAGCTGGGGGCTCTTCGGCCGTGGGGGGGTGGGCCAAGTGGTGGTGAAGGAGGAGGGTACGCGCTGGAGCTGCTCATTGGCAGGTCTCTGAGGAAGAGGGTTGCACGGCGGCTCCTCATTGATGGATAGAAGAATCGCCTGGGCGACTAGAATATTTACTGGGCTCTCTCATGTTGTCTAAAAGGCATGTAAAATAAAGCATTAAAACATGAGAGTCCAATGGGTTAAAGCTCTATCAATCAAGCCACTTAAGGGGGCGCACACTACAAAAACATTTATATAAGAATTTCTAAATATACACAAAACTAAAGAGAACAATGAACCCCACCAGTCAATCACTGAGCCATGCCTACCACTCATGTTTTCCATGCTTGTTTTATCTGTCTCTCCCTTGTCGCTGTCCTATTTTAAGCAAATCTGAGACATTATTTGATTTCATTACTAAAAATTTGAGAATACATCGAAGAAAATAACATCTTTATAAGCATCATGCCTTGTAAGCTTAGAGCATTATAACATCCAACAGCATTTCTTAATATGTAATTCCTTAATAAGATTTAATATTATCTAATTTGTTAATATTATCTAATGGACAATCAGAGATCTGTCTAATGTTGTTGACAACTGCAGTTGGCTTGATTGAGTTAGGATCCAAATAAGGCCCTTTTGGGGGACTTTATTATATTTCTAAGTGTCTCTTTTAATATAAAACAGTCCTTTTAAAAACATCCATTCAGGCTTGACTGGTTGCTTTCTGTGATGTCATTTTCTAGAGCTTCTATTTTGAATCTCCAGTCATTTCTGTAGACTGGAGGTTATAGCTACAGGCTAATTTGATTCAAGTTCAGTATTTTTTTTTGTCAAGAATTTGTCATAGATAGTGCTGTGTCCTTTACATTGAACCTCATCATGGGGATGTAATCTTAGATTCTCTCACCTCTAGTGATGCTAAGATTAATTTCTGGGCTCAGGTTATCCCCATGAACTCATGACCACTGCTTGAATTATTTATTTCATTAGGATTTCTAATCCTTGCATTCCTTCTGCATTTATTAGCTGCATTTCTTCGGACTAGTAGAACTGTTCCTCATGCACTCACCTACCCTGAGATACAGTTTACATGGAAAGGACAGGATACGTGATTAATTTTTTTCTCTTTTCAGAATTGATGCCATAGCAACTTCCAATAATGTCTAATGAGTTTTGTTTTTCATAATTGTTCTTTTTTTTAGTATCATTATACACTTATTGCATTGCAGTTTTATAAATTCAATATGTTTAATCAATTGCAGACAACTTAGTTTCCTTGAAGGAAAGAGCCTCTTGGCACTATCTGCCTTACGCCCACTTACCCGCTGTATTCTCTCCATATTTTGCAGAATTTGGGCTTTATGATCACGTGTGGCCACAGCCCTCCGAACCACTGTTTCTTAACCTTTTTTGTCCCATGACAGCCAGTGTCATTTAAACAAACATTTTACAAAATGAGAGCTGCCCTTACTATTGCATTTAGAATATTTATGTGATTATAATTTAGAATATTATGTGATTTCATTTTTGAGACAGTCTGCTGGCAACCCACTAAATTGATTTCACCACGTGCGAGATCACAGTCTACCTCCAGAAAAACCACTATTTGCTATCTTCTCCCCTGTTCTGACGCACCTTTGTTTCTTAACAGACGCCGCCATGTACAACAACTCTGGAGCCCCGCCCACCTCACCCGAGGCGCCCACAACCTATGGTATGTGTGATTTCTAGTTATAAGAGGTCAGGTGAGGGGTCTTCCAGAGGACAGAGAAGGGTGGAGATTTGCAAGGGCCTGACTGTGTAGGAGGCTTTGTACCAGGTGGCTTTGGATGAAGATTAGTTCTGGAAAGGTAGGCCAGTCCACCTCCAAAGTAAAGGACCCCAACTCACTCTTCTCACTGCTGGCCCATGCAGCTCTTCGGCTAAAGGAGGGCCTGGAACTGTTCCAACTGTGTCATGAAAGTTCATGTCGCTTGGAACAGAAACAAGGGAAGGGACATTTCTGGGTAAGACCCCTAGCGGGGATCTCCATGAATGGATGGAAGCCCATTAAACAAAATGCCAGTCTTACTAATTGGAGATACATGCAAAGTGTGTTCGGTGCTTCAGATGGTCACCGGTCACATGAATAGCAATCTAGGAAATACAGGTGATCGAGTGTCTCCAAAGAGGACTCTCTGCTACCTCGGCATGCCTCACAGAATGCAAAGGGCGAAACTGGTTCTTCACCTGTTTTTCATGAAGTGTGATTGGGGCCAGTAGATCCAGGCTGTGATAATAAAGGAGCAAAATTTGGGGACGAATGGAAAGCCTCTCCATTATCCAGCCTGATACGTGAGGAGGAGGAGGCTACTGTCCCAAGGAGGAGGCCTGTACAGTGTAGAAGTGAAGTAATCCACGAGCAGCAAGACCAAAACTAAGCAGAAGCATTGAGGTGGCATCTTGCAGAATTATCCCGAAGGAAGAGGTTCTACGTCCCTGTCTCTAGTCCAATCCCTCATGCTTTGCCTTGCCCCATGAGATGATGGTGTTCTCTGTCTTTCTTTTCCTGGCCACAGATCCGATGCTTAAAGTTGATGACAGCAACACGCGGATCCTGATCGGCTGCTTGGTGGCCATCATCTTCATCCTCCTGGCCATCATTGTCATCATCCTCTGGAGGCAGTTCTGGCAGAAGATGCTGGAGAAGGTGAGGAAGGGCAGAACAGTCATGGGATAAGAAACTGCCCCACCCTTGCCTAAGCCACTGCTTCCCTAGGAGAAAGTGGCATGCTGTAAAAACTTATAAATGCTTAGAGCATTAACTGGGGCTACTGAGAAGCCTGGGAGTGGCGAAGCTTGTTGCTGAAAGGAGTCAGAAAAGAATAAGCTAAGTCCATTTTCTCATGTTTGGGATGGAGATCCTGGAACCTCCCTAGAAAACTCAGAAAACTTTTCCTAAGACATTGAGTCTCAAGTCAAGCATCTCCCTTGAAGGTTTTGATTCTCTGGGTTTGGGGGGTGGGGAGTGCAGGAATCTATATATTTTAAAAAATTTTTAATTAAGGGGCGCCTGGGTGGCTTAGTCAGTTAAGCGGCCGACTTTCGCTTAGGTCATGATCTCGCGGTTCGTGGGTTCGAGCCCCGCATCGGGCTCTGTGCTGACTGCCAGCTCAGAGCCTGGAGCCTGCTTCAGATTCTGTGTCTCCCTCTCTCTCTGACCCTCCCCTGCTCACGCTGTCTCTCTCTCTCTCCTAGATATAAATAAAACATTAAAAAAATTAAAAAAAAATTTTTAATTAAAAAAACTAGCTAAAACTTCTGATAATGCTCTTCCTTCTCTTCTGTTACAGTTCACATGTCTGTGTGTGTGTGTGTGTGCACGCGCATGCACATGTGCGTTCATGTGTGTACGTGCAGGAGAACATTCAGCCTCATTCATATCCAAGCCAAGTTTCTTATAATCTTATTTATACTTCTTTATGTACGTGGAAGTTAGGATGATGCATTCTTCTGAGTCTCTCCTCAGATTTGTTTTGTCCAGTCTAAATTATCTGAACAGTTTTTATACATTTGCTAATATTTGACAGTCTGCAAGGACTTTTTTCACGTGTACTATTTTACTTGAACCTCATCGAATACTGGTGAGCTGGGCAGAGTAGTTTTATTGAACTGTTTTTCTGTTGAGAAAATGTGACGTATTCGAGGTCATACAACTGATATCCTATTTTATGTGTTCATTCCCATCTTGAAATTTGTTGACTTTTTTTTCTTCCAAAATATATCCATTGCACCAAAGATGCAATATCTAGGCCTTTCTTTGGCCTCCTAAGGCCAGATAGCAACTCTCTGGGCACTTCTGCTAAGTATCTGATGCTCTTGGGGTCTACCGATGGTTAAGTAGTTCTACATTTGGCCATGGACATCTTCACTTGATCAATGAGTGGGCATGATGAGGCAATGTTAAAACCTTCTTTCTTCTAGAATGCTGGAACATACTGGGTGTCTAGATTCAGGATGAGGGGCAGCAAATAATGCTGATGCCAGTAGAAGCTGGTGCACTAGAGGTTCATGGGACAGCTTGAAGCTATTGTGTGTCCTTCTTGAGTAGTTTGTTATGACTGCGTTTTATTTGGGAAGAGGGAGTCTGTGAGCTATTTTCCTCTTTATTAGAACCAGCGTTTACCATACTTCTCTGGGTCTTTCTTCTGAATCTGATTGGAATATGTTCATGGACTGGAAGAGGACTGTTGGAGTGGAGACTCTTTAAGTAAAAAGGAGAGCAAAAATTTTGCCCTGGAATATTTCACTTGGTCCTTCAAGAAATCCTTTCTAACCTTGTATATCTCTGGAATGACACAAGATTTCTTCCTGAGGACAGAATTTGTGTGTGTGTGTGTAAAACCCTGAAGCATACACATATATTCCAAGAAGCATTACTCAAAATAGCTTTAGACTAAGCATTTCTTGTCGGATACTTTTGGTAGTGTCATTTTTTCTTTGAGAGAGTTAACCCGTATTTATTGAGTACCTACTATGTGTTCGATTCCATAGTCAGTATTGGGGACTCTAAGTTTCTCCTGACGACCCAAAGTGTGTTTGTTGGAGTGGAACATTTTACATGTTCAAATCCACATGGTCGCATATATTCAGATTCTTGCATTTTCCTTTGGAAGCAGCAGGTAGGTTGCATTGGATAGGATGCCAAAACAATTTGTTATTTTCGTCTTCCTCTTTCTTTATCAGGTGTAATTCACCTCAGTACCCTCGGGACTTTTCTTTCCCATTTTGTAGCCATTTTATTTTTGTGCTAGTGAAAATGTGGGATTGAGGGCCTATGATCCTAACCTACAGTGTCACAGCGATCAGGTGGACTGTGGATCCAGCATGTGGCAGCATCTCTGTTGACTGATTGAGCATTTTAATATATGTCTATGCAAAGTCAAACCAGTTGAAGGATAAGTCTGCAAAAATCTATCACTTAACAGAATACCAAACACTCTCCAAGATTGATAAGATCTTTAATTGGCTACTGATGGGTTCTTAGAGTGTCATGTAAATAATGCTTCTAAGTGCGTCGGTGAAAGTTAGTGAATGTTGCCAGCACGGAAAGTGGGATGTCAAAATCTGCCTTGATGCAATGAAGGGTTATTCTAAGTTTCTGTGACACAAGCATTCGTGGAACCAGACTGCGTCCCATCCTTGAGGTGCTGACAGAGTTTAAGAATAATATAGAGAGGAATCTCACCTGAGTGAAAGAGCTGGGTTTCGGGGGAGGAGGAAGTGATGATCCCCCTTATGCCACCTTGCCTTCCCCCCCTTCTCGTTCAGGCTTCCAGAAGGATGCTGGATGATGAAATGACAGTCAGCCTGTCCCTGCCCAGTGAGTCCAGCATGTTCAACCACAACCGCTCCTCATCGCCAAGTGAGCAGGAGTCCAGTTCCACTTATGATCGCATCTTTCCCCTTCGCCCTGACTACCAGGAGCCGTCGAGGCTGATACGAAAACTCCCAGAATTCGCGCCGGGGGAGGAAGAGTCAGGTGAGGATGACACTGTGGCAGAGAAGGAGGGAGACATCTTGACAGGCAGTATGAAGGTGTGACACCTTGCTCCTATTCAACCAAATCTGGTTTTGATGGAGAGAAGTCCACCTTCTCCTGAGAAGTTCACACCCTCTTTCTAGATTGATCTGCTGCTACTTGTACCCTAATCTGAGCACCTCGCTTTCACTCCTGCACATAACAGGTGTTTGAAGGGACCCTCAGGTCAGAAGAGGAAGAAAATAAATAAAAAAGTGTCCCCAAAGTGTTAACACCAGAAGAATCAAAGCAGTTCAACTAGTCTGACTCCTCGTTTTCCATAGGAAGAAGATGGGGAGGCCCGGATAGGGCACTCACCCGCTATCAAACATCATTAGCGGGAAGTTTAGGGCTAGCATTTCTCTGGAGAAAACAAATCTATGAAGCTAAAGACATCCTAGAATTCTGAGTTTTTTTGGCCATCTAGATAATAGAGTTTATCTAATTTTTGTTGATTTATCTTTGGTGAAAGTTTATTAGAAGAATACATGATTTTTTTTTACAACAGCAAATATTTCTTGCCTTTCTTCAGTAAAAGTGTTGCTTTGGTAAAGCTGTGCCAATTGATTTACATCCAGTTTTTTTTTTAAAGTGTTTCAGAGTGACATCAGAAGGGATTCTGGGGTCATTACTGGGACTCAGAGCAGCTTCTCCATAACTGAAGAGTGATCCAAGTCAGTAGAAGAACTTGGGCTCAGGAGAGAGCTGGACAGAGAATTAGACAGGACTTACCAGGGGCACATAGGCTTTTCAAAGGCTCTTTTCAAAGGAAGGAAACTAGCATGTATTTATCATTTCATGGACAGCAAACAATGAAGGAGCACATTGAGCTCAGGGAATTTTACAGAGATACCAGGAATAAAGGATATAAACAAATTTATTTCCTAGGTAGAACCAAAGTAATTTACCTAGTAATTTACAAAGTAATTTACATCTCCCCCCTCATATTTTAATATTTATTTTAAATTTTTTAAAGTTTATTTATTTTGAGAGAGAGAGAGAGCTAGCATGTGAGAAGGAGAGCTAACAGAGAGAGAGGAAAAGAGAGAGAATTACAAGCAGTGTGGAGCCTGACAGGCTCAATCTCATGAACCATGAGATCATGGTCTGAGCCAAACTCAAGAGTCAGACGCTCAACCCACTGAGCCACCCAGGTGTCCCATAATGTATATTTTTTAAAGGATGGGTGTATCTTAAATTAGATCATAGAATCAGAAAGGTTTTTTTTAATCCCTAATATAGGTTATTAAATCAATGATGGTGTCTTAAAATTAAAGAAATGTGATTAAATCTTCAAACTTTAATACTCCTGCCCTTATATAGCATGAACTGAACTGTACTATAGCTTCACCACAGTCCCATAAGATAAGCCAAGGAGGTTGTTAATGATCATGTAGCTTGAGAAGAATATGAGAGAAAACGATGGTCTACATTCCAAAGGCCACAAGAAAGAGTCCCTAGAGGAACCATTCTCCACATGACAGTGGCACGGGGTAGGGTAGGCAGTCTTAAGGGCATGTCCCAGTCTTCCTGTCAAGATGTCCCTTGGGGTAAGACCCATCCCCATGTCTTCCCAGGCTGCAGCGGCGTTGTGAAGCCAGCCCAGCCCAGCGGGCCTGATGGGGCGCCCCACTACGCCGAGGCTGACATTGTGAACCTGCAGGGGGTAACCGGAGGCAACACCTACTCAGTGCCTGCTGTTACCATGGACCTGCTTTCCGGAAAAGACGTGGCTGTGGAAGAGTTCCCTAGGAAGCTTCTAACATTCAAGGAGAAGCTGGGAGAAGGCCAGTTCGGGGAGGTGAGTTGAGCCCTTCACTGGGGTCTCCACATAGTGGTTGAGTAAAAATGTCCAGGAGAGCAAAGTACCCCTTCCAAAGTGGATTCATACTGGAATGTCTCCTTCACTTATCTCTCCTCGTCTTGTATTCTAGAAGGCAGGTATTGGGTCAACCTGATCTCCACGGAATAACAGAGGTCCTGGGCCTTCTGATTTCTGTACAGGAGGTTTTAAAGCCAGCAAGTCACTGGCCTTCAGATATGCTGAAAAACATTCAATGTTTTCAACAGCTTTTACAATAGGTTACAGAGGGTGGGGACCCATGAGATGTGATCATCTTTTATAAGCTGTCCAAGAACACCCTGCTGCTCGATAGCCACTTTGTTTTCTTCCTTTCAATGGGAGTTATGTGTAAAGTGGTCAAAAACAACCTCGCCCCTGACTCTAGTCCCAGAATCAGCCACCAGGGAACGAAGTGCCAGTTGAGATAAGGAGGAATCATCTTCCCAGTTGCCCTCCGAGTGATGCACGTAATAGTGACTTTGCATTCTTTCCATCGGTCACATGAACTTCTGAGACTTCCAAGCCATGATTTCAGTGGCAATAGGAGCCCTTCGACAGTGCCGTCTGAACTCCAAATGAAATATAAGAATGTGTTATTGGTTTTTAGGGTGGGTGGCAGGCTCTACCCCTGGGTAGGCTGGCGTTGGTGGGGGTAAGAGGGTCCGTGGCATCTGTTTGTGATGTTGTAGGTACTCGTTCTGCCCCCTCAGTTGAAAACACAGGCTCGTTACACTGTTGATAATACATCGGGGTTACTTACAGTGCTAATGCCATACCAAAGGGTGACCTTAGAGAGGAGGTCGCCGTATGTTTTGTATGATCCAGTAACTAAACTTCCTTGAATCAAAGTTGGAGCATGGACTGTGCTGTAAAAAAATACCATGTTGTAAATTAGTTTACATATTTAATGTTCCAATCAATGTATGTTTCTTTCACAAAGCAGTAGCGTATCATATGAGCTGGGTTCTCGACCGTTGTTTGTGTCAACATTTGAATGAAAGGTATGTTACACGTATCTTAACAGTCTCCTGACGATTTGGTGGAGTTGTTATGAGTTAGCTTATCTCCAGGAAATGCCCAGCAAGAGTACGGAGCCGCCTTCAGGAGAAATGATGATGCTGAAAGTAGATGACTTTTGTCTAGGTTCATCTCTGTGAAGTGGAGGGGATGGAAAAATTCAAAGACAAAGATTTTGCCCTAGATGTCAGTGCCAACCAGCCTGTCCTGGTGGCCGTGAAAATGCTCCGGGCAGATGCCAACAAGAATGCCAGGTCTGTGGTCTGCATTTTGAATTCTCCTTTATGTATTTCACCTTCAGGATCAGGAACACCCCCTGGAAACCTTTGAGCAGTTTTTTCTTTCGAGATGGGAAGGTCTGTGAGCTTCCTCACCTTTCACTGTTATGCTTTATTTTTCCAATTGGCCATAGCCCTCATCTCTCTTCTCCATCCCTCGTGGACACAAATGCCCACTATCCATTGAATTAGCTACCAATTTACCTCGTAACGCCTTCTGCACCGAGTCGTACTTCCCAACACGCACAACAGCCTGGATATTTGCTCCTTCCATGGTTATGCACAGACGTACTCCTCAATGTCATTACCGCGTCCTGGCAGACTTCCACGTTCACACACCTTTCTTGCTGAGTCCCTTCCGTTCTCTTTTCGCATCTCTACTTACTTTCTCATTCCCTTTTTTTTCTCTTTTATGCTCCTTTTCTTCTATGTCCAGCAACCCCCCAAATGAGAAGCTACCTCTACTTGGAAAAGTATCCATGGACCTCAAAGCAAAAGGATCCACAGTCCTTTTAGCTGTTTCCCAAACTGGCCAATAGTCTCTTGGATCCTTTGCTACATAAATTGCAGTTTCCAGCCATACTCCGTTGTCTGACAGCCTTTCCATTACAGTAATGGTGAGTTAATCCTCACCCAGGGAGGCGTGCTGGTTGAAAGCTGGTTGTGTCTCAGAGAAGTCTGCACATCTGGGTAACGTACGTATTTTCCCATTTGTGTTGACTCAATCAGTCTCGCTGATACTCACAGTGAGAGAAAGCTTATTACCCCTATTCCCCAAATTATCGTCAAGTCCAAGAGTGATGGTAGAGTTTCACGAAAAGCCTTGCAACAGCCAGAATGTGGAATGAAGAAAGGCAAGGGAACAGAACTGGAATTTTAACTGTGAGAATTTCAATCTTTTTTTTAATGTTTATTTTTGAGGGGCGGGGGAGGGACAGAGAGAGACAGGAAAACACAGAATCCGAAGCAGGCTCCAGGCTCTCAGCTGCCAGCATAGGGTCCCACACGGGGCTTGAACTCAAGAACCGTGAGATCATGATGTGAGCCAAAGTCGGACGCTCACCTGACTGAGCCACTCAGGCACCCCTGAGAATTTCAATCTTAAGGACATCAGTACATGAAAAATGACTTCCTCTGCATCCTTTAGAGAGATGGAATATTCTTAATGTTGACCTTAGCACACAATGGGAGAGAGTGGCAAGAAGGAAAAATCATAAGATGTGACAAAGCCTTTGCCCATTGTTTTGGTTGGCAATGTTTGGTATTCCTTCACCTGTGCCCACTACACACTAGCAGCAATGGGTGACCTAGACTCTGGGCACCACCCCCTGCCCCAAGCCATGGAAACCGCTGGTTTGGAATGGAGAGGAATGCAGGAGGGGAGGGGTCACATTTCCAGGGTTTTATATTAACACAATATGACTGCCAGTCCACATTCATAGAAAACTCACAGGAGACACATAACTGATCTGCTCCAATAGTTTTAAGAATGTGGGCCAGTGGTCTCACTAACCCAGCTATTGCTACTGGGAAGGTGATAGCCCACTTTGTGACTCAGGGGTGGTTGTCACTGAGTACTCAGGCAGTTATGGTCTTGGCCAAGTGAGTGCTGTTTGTTTTTTTAATTTTTTTTAATAGTTTATTTAGTTTTGAGACAGAGACAGAACATGAGTGGGGGAGGGGCAGAGAGAGAGGGAGACACAGAATCGGAAACAGGCTCCAGGCTCTGAGCTGTCAGCACAGAGTCTGATGCGGGGCTCGAACTCACGAACCACGAGATCATGACCTGAGCTGAAGTCGGACGCTTAACCGACTGAGCCAGCCAGGCACCCCTGAACAGCTCTGTTTTGAACAGGCTTCCTCAGTGTGTGCTGTGACTGACAGCTGGGGTGCCCTGTATCAAGAAAAGCCAGCATGAAGAGAAGAAAAAAAAGAATGATCAGATAAACCAGAGGATGATTATTCACTTTATAAAAGACTTCTTTGCTTTATTAGTAGAGTGACTCCATGACTTTTTAAAAAGATAAATGCCCCAGGGCACTGCAGATATGATTTCCAGTAAAAAGTTTCATTTTGCAGACTAGTTTTTAAGCCGTGTATATTTGACTCGGCAAATAGTCATCACTTTCTGTGTGGTGGGCCTTCTGTCGGGTTCTAGGGATGCAAATGTGAGCAAGTCATCGTTCATGTTTCCAAAAAGATTAGAGTTGAGGAGGGTGCATCAGATCAGGGTGAATAGAATGAGACAGTGTCCAGGTACCAACTTCTCTGCCCTTTCAAAGGTTATCCAAAGGGAGACAAGACTTGGAATAAGGGGCGGGACTGGGCTTTACTGTGTCTTCCTCCCCATTTTGTGTCTAACCCTGGCAACCCCTGGGTTCGCCCATGTCTGTGTCCTCCAAAGGAACGATTTCCTTAAGGAGATAAAGATCATGTCCCGGCTTAAGGACCCAAACATCATCCGCCTCTTAGCCGTGTGTATCACAGAGGACCCTCTGTGCATGATCACTGAGTACATGGAAAATGGAGACCTCAATCAGTTTCTCTCCCGCCACGAGCCCCCCAGTTCTGCCTCCAGCAATGTACCCACTGTCAGGTAAGTCAGCCGGGTCTTCCATCCCTTCTCCGTGTTCCCCGAGACACATCTTGGCTCTGAAGACAGGAGCGGTGAACTTGAGAGCATGTCAGTGCTCTGGGATGGTGGGGAGGTTAGTATGCAGGGAGCAGGGGAGCAGCTGCTCTGGTGGGGAAAGCCAGCAGATTCACTGAGAGCAGAAAAGAGATGCTGAGGTCGAAACTCCAGTTTGTTGGTACTACCCGTGGGATGCATGCCTTTCACGGCTCCCTCTGGCCACAGGCTACTTTCTCTCTTCCCTTTTATCCCCTCAGTTATGCCAACCTGAAGTTTATGGCGACCCAGATTGCCTCCGGTATGAAGTACCTCTCCTCTCTTAATTTCGTCCACCGAGATCTGGCCACACGAAACTGCTTAGTGGGGAAGAACTACACCATCAAGATAGCCGACTTCGGAATGAGCAGAAACCTGTACAGCGGTGACTACTACCGGATCCAGGGCAGGGCAGTGCTGCCTATCCGCTGGATGTCCTGGGAGAGCATCTTGCTGGTGAGTTCCTCACATCCATCAGCCCTGCCTTAGCAGCTGGCACGGGGCACGGAGCATGGAGCACATAGGAACCCACGTTTCAGTTTGTTTATTGATTTTGAGAGAGAGCATGAGCAGGAGAGGGTTAGAGAGAGGGGGCTGGGGAGACAGAGAGAGAATCTCAAGCAGGCTTCACACTGTCAGCACAGAGCCAGTGTCAGGACTTGAACTCATGAACCTCGAGATCATGCCCTGAGCCAAAACCAAGAGTCAGACGCCCCAACGACTGAGCCAGCCAGGTGTCCCCACTTTGTAATTTTTATCCGACGCTGGGTATTCTGGACCATGAGTGAAAACGTTTTTGCATACGCCTCTCTTGGAGGTGTATTTTCTGACCGTGTATATTTGAGATGTTTTATTGTTGGTTTTATACCACTTGGATGATTGGTGGGATTATTAGACTTTAAACAGTTACTTCCTGCAATGCTGCATATGAGTAAGTTTGTCTTCTGCCAGTTAATATCGCCGAGAAAAGCCTGGGAGTAATCTAGCTTTCTTTGTTTATAGTTCATCTGTTTATTCCTCTTTCATATTCTTAAAGGATTCGTTAATTAAATTTGAAATGAAAAAATGTATATAGTTATCCCCTTTCTCTCCCCAAGATAACCATTAATAATAGTTCGGCATATTCCCTTCGAGGGTTGTTTTCTGTACACACATTTCTGTATATGTAGTTGTGTGTGTGTACACGTGTATATATATACATAAAGTAGCCCCCCTTTATTTATGAGGGAGACGTTCCAAGACCCCCCAGTGGACGCCTGAAATCACAGACAGTACTGAACCCTATATATACTATGCTTTTCCCCCATACATACATACCTATGATAAAGCTTAATGGATAAATTAGGCACAGTAAGAGATTAAAACCAATAATATTACAATAGAACAATTATAACAAGATACTGTCATAAAAGTTATGCAAACATGGTGTCTCTCTCTCTCTCTCTCTCTCTCTCTCTCTCTCTTTCTCTCCAAAATGTCGTACTCTGCTCACCCTTCCTTTTGTGATGGGGTAAAATGATAAAGTGTCTATGTGAGGAGATGGAAGTAGGTGAATCACGTAGGTGTCGTGAGGTGGCGTTAGGCTACTACGTACGGTAGCAAGGGCAGAGCATTCTCAGCATCTGGATCGCAGTTGATCATGGGCAGCTGAAATTGTGGCAAGTGTAACTGCCGATAAGGGGGCTCCTGTGTGCAGATCATTACATTCCATAGATGGGATGATGCTACGCACACATAATTCTACAACGTTAGCATTTCCTAGGTCATTAAATGTTCTTCAGACATGTGATTTTAATGGCTGCATGATATTCCATTGTGTGTGTCTATCCGATAATTTAATAATATCTCTATAATTTGAGAAGTGAGCACTTTCCCGTTTCCTGCTATTATGAATGCTGGTATACACCAGTTTACATAAGTCCTACAAGGATCTTTATTATCTACACGTGACTCACACATTTTTCCCATTTCTTTTCTTTTTTTTTTTTAATGTTTATTTTTGAGAGAGAGAGAGACAGCATGAGTGGGAGAGAGGCAGAGAGAGAGGGAGACATAGAATCTGAAGCAGGCTCCAGGCTCTGAGCACAGAGCCCGATGTGGGGCTCAAACTCACAAACCGCGAGGTAATGACCTGATCTGAAGTCAGGTGCTTAACCGACTGAGTCACCCAGGCGCCCCACATTTTCCCCATTTCTGATGTGATTATTGAGCAGTGTTCCTTTTCAAGGTATTATATATGTTGTAAAAGATTATTAGTCTGAGATTCAAAGGATCTTGTTCCAAATCTCAGTTTTTCCATTACTAATGGTCTTGCTATCTAGGAGAGTTTTAGAAAACCTCTCTTGTCTCACTTTTCTGATCCAAATAAATAAGGATAAAGAACGTCATCTACTTGAAGGCTGTATTTACAGAATCGAAAATGTGCATGTATTTAATGCATGCTGAGCACATCTGAATCCCATTGCTGTCAGTGTTAGTCTACCCTTCAGGACTGTAATTCTTACTGACCTGGGAAACAAGAGTTCTGGATTCTCCCAGGGACTTTGGGCACTTAAACTAGATTCCTCTATTTCTAACGTAAAAGCGATTGACTTTCCATTCTAATAGAAAATCCCATGGGTATTTTCCCAAGGCTACCCTAGAGCCTGAAGTTTGAGCTTCTGACACTTGGTGGGAGAGTCAGGCAGAGCTCAGACACCTCTTGCGGCCCTGTGATCTCATTTCCAAGAGAAGCATGTTTTAAGCTGAGCCCATGAGGGACAAAGACAATGACCTGCAACTTTGAGGCCAAAGCCACTTCAGTTTGTTGTTTTATTTTTTTTAAGTTTATTTATTTATTTTGAGAGAGCAAGAGAGAGAGAGAGTGTGCAAGTGCATGAGTAGGGGAGGGACAGAGAGAGGGAGGGAGAGAGAGAATCCCAAACAGGCTCCACGCTATCAGTGCAGAGCCCATCACGGGGCTCCATCTCCTAAACCGTGAGATCATGACCTGAGCCAAAATCAAGAGTTGGATGCTCAACCAACCAAGCCCCCCAGGTGCCCCCATTTTGTCATTTTAGATTCTCCATGCACATCTTGGCAGTTCCAGATCAGTCCCATGATCTGGGGGTAACCAGATCATGCAGATCTCACCTGCCCTCGTCACAGACCGGCCATTCTGGTTTCCTCTTCTTTTCCTTACGCGAACAGGGCAAATTCACGACAGCGAGTGACGTGTGGGCGTTTGGGGTGACTCTGTGGGAGACCTTCACCTTTTGCCAGGAGCAGCCCTATTCCCAGCTGTCTGATGAGCAGGTCATCGAGAATACTGGAGAGTTCTTCCGGGACCAAGGGAGGCAGGTGAGAACCGCTGGGGGTGGGAGGGTGGGGACCTGGGTGCCCCACAAGGTGAGAAGAATAAAGGCTTGACTTAGCAGGATAGCCCGAGCTGGAAGGGGAGCTACGTGGATGACAGTCTTTGGTCACTAATTATCCAGAGAACGTGAAAGACTGAGGGCCGCCGCCACCCACCGCCCCTGCCAACCGTATGCTCTGCCTTATCCACACGGCAGCCCATGATCATCAGAGGACCCGAGGGGACAGTTACATCATGCTCCTCTCCGACTCAAAGACAGCAGGAAATAACACCTGCTCTCTCGTGTTTGGCCTATTTCTTGATGTAGACCGTGCATTTCATCTTCCTGGTTGAAACACGTAAGAACAAAAATAGAAGTTTAAAAAGTGAATGAAGGATTTATTGGCAGTAGCTAAAAATAGCTAAAAATCTGGTTTGGACTAAATATTTAGCAGTGTTTCTAGACGGATACGTCTGGAGATGAGCAGATGCATCCTGGACCCTGGTCTCTCAGAACTCAGGAAAAGCTGGAGTCTCGCACTGACAAGGATTCCAATTTTCAGTCAGGACACTCTACACTTCCTCTCCTCTCCTCTCCTCTCCTCTCCTCTCCTCTCCTCTCCTCTCCTCTCCTCTCCTCTCCTCTCCTCTCCTCTCCTCTCCTCTCCAACATTTATTTATTTTTGAGAGACAGAGACAGAATGTGCTGTCAGCACAGAGCCCGACACGGGGCTCAAACTCACGAACCATGATATCATGACCTAAGCCGAAGTCGGACGCTTAACCCACTGAGCCTCAGGCGCCCCCTCTAACATTTCTTTAGTTGAGTCAGTTTGTAAAGTCCCCGTGAGATGTCGGATTCAGAGCTTGCTGTGTGGCTGGAGCACTGACCTCCCAAGGTGGCCTGGCCACAGCACTCTGGCGCGTGGCAGCTCAAGCCAGCCAGGGAGCAAGAGAAGGTTCCTGCAGAACATGAGCACTTAGGGGCGCCTGGGTGGCTCAGTCCGTTAAGCATTCAACTTCAGCTCAGGTCATGATCTCAGAGTTCGTGAGTTCGAGCCCCACATTGGGGGAGGGAAAAAAAGAACAGAAAAGAAGAACTTAAATCCTTAAATACATTGAAGTAAGCAGAAGATAAGGGAATGAGAAGAGATAACATAACTTACAGGTTGAAAATAAGAGGGAGAGGGCCTGGGATTTCATTTTATCTTGCTACTCTGTAGATCTTTTGACAGCAGGGGATCCACATTACCTGTCTTGGTTATAAAATCATTGCTTGGCTCTAAAATAATTGCCCATGACAAAGGGCAAATTTACTCCTGTGTGCAGTGGACCAAGGCCAAGTGAGTGGACCGAGGAAAAAAAGTGGTTTATCCACTGGACTGATACATCATGACACCAGGATGACCTATTTTAGTCTTAATTTCTAACAATCCCCAGGCTTTTGTTTTTCTTATTTATTTTTAAATACTCAGCTTAAAAGGGTCCACCATTTCATCTTCACTAACTACTAGTAGTAAGCCAAATATGTTTTCGCCAACTACCAAGTGGTCAAATGGTAAAGTTAAGGATGTGAATGAAACTAAGGTCAAACTCAGATATAACCATTATATGCTCAGTAAACTTCTCACCTATAAGCTAAAAGTTGCAATTTTTGATAAAAATTTATTACAGTTAGCACATTAATCACTAAACATGATTTGTCAAAGTTAAACTTTATTATATTCTACCAAAGGTTATTACTTTCAATTTTATTCCTCAAATTTATGTGTTCAAATTTGAGAAGTTTTACATCAGAGCGTAAGAACAGCAAGTGCTCTGTACTGTCAGCTGTGAGGTAGACTCTTCAGTCAGCAGACTCCCCTGTGTGGCCCAGTCCCGGGGAGGGGGTCACAGAGAACATTCTGGTAGGAGTGACATGGATAAATCCAGCATTCCAGTGTCTGCATCTGGCTGGGCTCCTGTTCAGGTAGAGGAGCTGACACAGCCGAACTCACTCTCTTCCCCTGCCGTGATGGGCTCGGCCAAGATCAACCTCAACACTTGGGCCGTAAATGGAGGATCAAGTGTTCTAACCACTTGCTTCTCAGTCTGAGACCTCTTTTTGGCTAGAGTTTTGCCTTTGGTGTGACAGTAGGGACCTCAGAAGGGCTTATCAGGAAATCCTGCGCCAGACGACTAGGCAAGACAAGCAAAGCAACCGGGGCCGGGAGGTGAGTGGGAAGAACAGACACCACACCTGTCTCAGTTTTCAAGTTCAAGAGGGAGGGAGGCAGACAAAACGATAATGCAGTCACACTTCCTTCCCCCACCCCCACCCCCACCTTCTTAACATCATTGTTTTTTGTTCACCTTTGTTTTCAAAGACTTACCTGCCCCAGCCTGCCATTTGCCCTGACTCTGTGTATAAGCTGATGCTCAGCTGCTGGAGAAGAGACACCAAGCATCGTCCTTCGTTCCAGGAGATCCACCTTCTGCTCCTTCAGCAAGGGGACGAGTGACGCTGTCGCTGCCTGGAGACATTCCGATGGCCCAGGTCTTTCTCACGAGACCTACCACACATCCACGCCTAAGCCACTCCATCTGGACGTTGAACGGGCCCGGGAGACAGAGGCTTATTTACTTCTGTGTCTCTGTCCCCAGCCTGCCTTCACTCCACTCCCCCACTCTCTACCCCTGACCCATATATACTTTCTTTCTTTCTTTCTTTCTTTCTTTTTTTTTTTACATTAAAGAACTCAAAAAGAAAAAAAAGCCTAGGGCAGATAAAATCTAGTAAAGAAATCTTGCTTAATATACCAAAGTGTTGGATAGCAAGCTAGACAACTTAGATAATTTATAAAGGTTAAATATGCTATGTTTATAAATGTGCAGATTCTACCATATTTTTTCCACGTCACCTCTCAAAATGTATCTTCAGAAAGAAAAAACTTGAAGAACACAGATGTCTTAGGGAACGTGGGGTTAGGCTTGGGGAAGACACTCAGTACGTGCGGAGAATCAGATGGGAGGGTTGGTATTCAGTAGCTGATCAGAGATTTCTTTGTTTCCTAATTTGGCCTCTGGACACGTCCTACCTTCTGCCTTTTCCTCTCCTGTCCAAGTAGGTGATACATGCTTGAAGACCTCCAGGTTCTCGGAATGGGCATTTTGTTCCTTTTGAGGGTGGGGTCAAGGGTGACGTCTATACGCAGAGGAAGTACAGAGGGTGTGTGTAGAGAGACTGTCTACTGCAAGGCTGTACGAAGGGGAATCATCGTTTGCCAAAAAAGTACCTCGTGCATGAAAGAGTTCTTGAATAGAGAATGGACATAGGAAAAGAGGTCCATGGAGGACAGGTGACAGGTGTGCTCTTCCCCTGTGATTTCTGCAGAGGGTCTCCCGCTTGCTTAGATATTTTCAGGCGTGTGTTTCAGTGAGAGCTTGAATCAGTAAAGACTGGTGTTTTGATATCTGGACTGTGGGCCCTTTTGGCTCATCTTCTCCAAGTCTTTCAGCTCTTTTATTAGGTGCATCCCCTAGGGCACCCATGGGCTGGGGGGTGACCTTCTCTGGGACAAATACCTGAAGGCCATGTAGTGTGGAGAGTAGATCTGTTCTGCGTGTTTCCAAAATGCTGACCTAGGGCCAACGAGGGAAAGTTGCAAGGAGATAGGTTTCCACTCCTGATTAGGGAGATCATAACCAGCAGCAGAACACAAAAGGATGAACGGGCCACCTCCAGAGGTTGGGGGGCACAGGGGGGTCCTTTGTCGCTGAAGAGCTTCAGGTGCAGGCTGACGAACTAGGCAAGAAAGAGATAGGCCTTCAAACACAGGGCAAATGGTTGTATGAGGTGAAGTATAATGTCCTTTTGACCCTATGAGTCCTTGATTGCAGAGAGCGTGAGAGAGACGTCCTTCACTGCTCCTGCTGGGTGTAGACAGCCTTGCCCCAGGGATGGTATGGCTAACAGGACAGAAATCATGGGGCTCTGAGTTCAGAAGCCACAGAACCAGATACACTGTCAAGTAAGAGTCCCTTTGGAGCAGATGGTGAGGCCTCAGATCTAACGAGAAGCGGGAAAAGGGACCCCTCCATTCTCTTTGAGGAACAACAAGAAACGATTACAAAACAAGCTTCCCAAGTTCTTGTTGTCAAGTTCCCAATAGTCTTGAGACCGTGAGTCTGCTTCTGTAGCCCTGACCCATTTCCCCTGTGCACAGTGGCTCAGGGCCTTGACTTTTCTCCCTGGTTCAGCCTTCAGCATCGCTCCAGGCTACCGCAGAAGGAAGTGCCCAATCCCCCAGACGGTCTTGTGACCCTAGCAGACGCCTTCTCTCATAGCTGCCCTTGGACTCTGGGCTCTAGCCTCTGCCAGGGCTAACTCTGCCCAGAGCGTTGGCTTGGGAGCTCTGATCCTACTTCTGCCTCAAGCCAAGCGTGTCACTTTGGACGAGGCACTTCACCCTTCTGGACTTTATTTTCCCTGGCCATAAAATGAGGGGATGGCCTTGAAAGCCTCTCCCAGCTCTGATAGGTTCAGTGCTGGCTGGATAATCGCGTCTGCAGTTGATGCAGATTCTGTCATCTGGTCATCTCCTGCTCTGAAAATCGCCATCAGCAAAAGCAATGCCGCAGGGAACGCACTATAATAGTCACAGTCAGAGTGGCCACTTGTACAGCGCTTTCAAGTTTATCAGGCATTTCCGGAAACATGATCTCATCTGATATGTGCAGGGCCGGACATGTCTCCTATGCCCTGGGGCCCATCACACTGCTTTCCAGACCAGTGTTAACTGCATGTATTCGAGAGCTCTCTAGAGAAACAGGGCAGGAGAAGACTGACATTTAAGTTCAGCAGTCAAGCAGAGAGAGCAAACTCCCCCTCCTCAGTCTTTTCCACGCCCCCCCTCCCCCACCATGTGCCCACACAGAGATTGGGCAGTCTGTTTCACTCGGTGCACCATTTCTAATGCAAAGTCTTCTGGAAATACCCTCACAGGCCCCTAGAGCCCCTGTCTCATCTGGGCACATCGACACGAACATTTAGTCACCTCCCTGCAGGTGAAATCCCGGCCTGTCCTCCTGTATCCACCTGCCTCTGGGAGGGCCACATGTAGACCGTGCCCATGACTTCAGATGTGGCGAGAGAGAATAACATCACTTCCCCATCTGTGCCTAATCTCTCTGCTTCTTTCTTTCCACACTTCCACCTCAGACCACTGCACGCATTCCATGATCCCCTACATAAAAAGAAAATTATATTGGAGATGAACTGAATGTGTCTGGATTTTCCTGGCCTTGAGCCACAGAGTAATCTGTTTCAAGTGGCTGGCAAGCATGCACTGTCACGTACCATTATCCTTTCCTGGGAGGAGGAAGTTTATTCTCAGGCACTGAGATTCTTACGTTAGAGACCCCGGGCTAGGTTCTAGCCTGGCCAATGCCCGCAGAGCCTCGCTGCACGGACGGAAGAGACCCAATAGCAGGACATGGTGAAGGCTTCGTATGTAGAATTTAAAGGTAGTGCAAACTTCCCTGAGAAGAATGTAGCTGGGAACTTTCAGAAGAGGAGATAGGAAAAGGGACAGCCATCCGTGGAGGCCTTGTTAACCTTAGTAGTGAGTTGTCCCCTTCGTGATAGGTATGAACTCCTTTGTATCCAGATCGAGTTTGGGGATCCTCAGATTTAAAGTGACACTTCTGCTGGTTAATGTGCTGATCACTAGGTCCAAGTCTTGAGGTGCTGTCTAGATACATGTGTGATCAGAAGAGATCTGGAATGGAAGGAGCCACCGAGGGGGAAACGTGGTTTTGATGTTGTGGAAAGATGACTTACGAGCGCACAAGACAGTATAACGAAGAGCATTGTATGGAAGTGGAGTAAGAAAAACAAAAAGATGAATGAATGTGCATGTGCCTGAGCAGGGAGGCAGGTGGGGACTAGAAAGAAGGCTACTTAGAAAAAGGTAAGGGAGGGTGCAGGGGGAAGACCCAGGCGGGGCGGGGCGACAAGGGACAAACAGGTGGTGCAGGTGAGAATCTAGGCTGAAGCATGAAAGCAGATCTCGGAAGAGAGATCTGAGACAGGGCAGAAAAAGTACGTGTCTTGAAGATAAAAGATAAATATGTGTAGAGAAAGAAGTTCCGGATGATAGAGATGATAAAAGTATTTATTAAAAGATGAAAAGTCAGGCACAGTGGATGGAAAGGAAGGGAGCTTTCCAGAGTTTTTGGGAAGGGAAAGTCCTTATAAAAACATGGAGGCAATTATCAGGAAATGATCTCATTTCAGAGGAGGCGAGTGAGGGGGGCCCCCGTTGAAGTATATCCTGGACCCTAGAAGTGCTCGGGACAACGGTGGCGGGAAGAAGTCATTTCTTTGCCTGAACGAGACTGTGTTTCCCAAGAGCCGTTTTGGAAATGATTTATGGAGGTTCACGGGGCTTTGTTCCCCTCCTTCTGTGAGTCAAATCCATTTAGAATAATGCCCATCACTGTTGTGCCCAGAAAAGCCACAGGGGAACATTGAAATAATCGGCCGATGTTAGACAAGACCAAACCTTGTTTGATATCTATACAGAGAGGTATGTGCCACGTTGGAACCATGTGTTTCTCTAGTCCTGTCCAGACTTCCCACAAGAAAGCCACAATGTGGGGCTAAGCCATGTGTTTTGAGGAAAGGGGAACAGAAGAAGGGGAGTTGTCTACCAGGCCAAGAGATGAAAAGGTTCCAAGGAAAGATTTTCTAAAACAGAACAGCATCTGTTTTGCCCAAAACTGAAAATAAAATGAAGAAAATTACAGTTAGGGCTTAGATTACTTACAATATATGGTCATCAAGTCTTCGATCTTAACTGGGATTTGTACACCTGCCATCTTGGCCTTCTCAGTAAGACCTCTGACATCTGGCAGTGTGTATGGTAGGTCCCTAAATATTTCTGGAATATTGATTGCAGATTCTGATCTATGCTGGGAAGCCCTTCTTGAATTGAAACTTAACATTTCTGTAGAAACAGATGAATGCCTTTTCAAAATCGAGAAAAGGAATGCTGAGTCGAGATGGAAAGAGACCAGAATGGTCAATGGTGATTGGATTTTTGGCATTTCGAGTTCTCTGGCACCATTAGCTGCATTGCTTGATGGCAGACAAGTGGTGGGTAATCATTTACTTGCTGTTTCTTTTATTTAAAAACTTGTAATTTTGAAATACTTTAAGACTCACAAGAAGTTATAAAAATAGTAGAGCGGCCTTACCCTGACACCAGGCTTTCCTCATTGGTAACGTCTTACATAACCATAGTCTATTTTCAAAACCGGAACTTGACCTTTGTAACACTACAGTTCATTAAGCTGCGGGCCTTACTCACATTTCACCAGATTTTTATATGTATTTATGTAGTTTCTGGATACTTTATCCCTTTCTGATTTGTAACCTGGCCTTGCTTGGAGGTGGCAGAAAACACACGATCTGGATGCAACTCTACCAAATTCTAGAGAGAATTTATCCATGAGAAATGGTCTGCCTAGACCACTTCCACATTTTCTGACTAGTTTGGCTGTTTAGCGTCTGGAACAATCCGAGAACAACTCAGAAGGATCTGGAAACACAAAAGACAGGAAGACCTACACATAGCTTGCTGGCTAGAGAATGAGGTGTAGGACATTCTAGATGGTTCCTGCAGTTCCTACCAGTGAGTAAGATTTGTAATGGTGGCAAGCAGGGGACGTAGGGTAAACCGGTCTTTTGAGGGGGACTTAGCTGATGGCAGGGCTGGCTTGTGGAAGGAACACAGTAGCATAGAACCCTCTAATGTGTGATGAAACGCAATTTTCAGAGTAGTACCGGCACTTCGGTTGCCTAAATACCAATTCTTAAATGGAATGGAAGATACATTGGACCAAATTAAATGTGACCACAGAAGCAACCTTGGGAGGAGTTGAAACTCTGGAGCTGTGGATCACAGCTGTGAGTTTCGTGGGGGCATCTTTAACGTGCCCTATTTAAGGGTCACAGGTTATAACTGGGTTCACACTGCCTACCCCATGTCCTGTAAAGTCCCAAGCACAGAGCGAGCACTCAGTAAATATCTGCTGAGTGTTGTTTTTTGAATGAATAAGAGATAGAAACCGAAACTTGTCATCCAGAATAACTGGGGTGAATTTAGGGAGAATTGCTTTGCTACATCATCAACAGGTTGTTTTCAAAGAGAGAAAAATGCCCAGACTGGTACCTGGCGAAGTTCATTCTCCGTTTGCATATTTTCTAATGATGACATCGATTAATGGAATGGGAAGTGCCTCCTTCTTTGAGGTGTTTAGACAGCCGTGCAAGGCAGTCCTTTATGATGCACCCCAACCCAAGCCTAGGCTTTTTGGTTTCCGCTACAGACAGGAACTTGTAAAGAAGCGTCAGTGTCACAAGCCAGCCTGGCTTACCCACATTCACTACCGCACTAAGGGGAGAGTTTGCGAACAGACTCACGGGAGAGCACAGTGAGATAAGGCAATTACTTTGACTGAAAAGCTCTTTTCTTGCAGAGATGCCTGGAAATAGTTGAAATTAGGGGGGATTCCTGCAAACACACCAAGAGTTTGTAATCTAGCCTATTCATTTTATGCCCTTTACTACTCATGATATCCTGTCTCTTCTACCCTGTTGTCTGGTAACTTTTCCTGAGGGTTGAGTTTCTGAATCAACACGGCTCACTCTTCCTACGAGGAGGGACTATCTGAGCCTCATTCTGGAGGCTTTGAAGGATGACGTGTCGTCAAGGGGTAAAGAGCAAACTGATTGGTTTCTGCTTAAAACTATCGTAGTCATCCCAAAACAGGATACGGAAAAGTTCTCTGTATTAGAAAGGGAAACAAGATACCAATTGTATATTTTCTTTATTTATTCCCTGTAAGTCTGTCAGATGATAAATTGTAAATAACAACGATTAAAGAAATATGCTACTGACGGAGCCCTCTTCTGTGTTAACGGCGCCACCTCCGGCCTTTGTGATCTTTACTCTTTACAGTCTTTCTGGAGAAGAGGGGGACAAGGGGGAGGAGCCAAGGGGAGCACGTGCTGTGCGTGGTGTGCGAGCTGTACGCGGGGCGAGTGCCTGTTGAGAGATACCCAGCAGAGGGTGCCTGGCACCAGCCTGTGTCATATTCCTTGACTGTGTGTTGGAAGGGAGGCATCTCGGTCTCTGGCACGTCTAAACGTACTAGAGAGCTGGAATTTTTTGTTGTCTCATTAGTCTAGAATTAACTGAGGATGCTTTATTGTTATTACAAGGTTGTCTTGGTCGATACAGAGAAATCTCTCCCAAATCCAAAGATCGCCTGGCTCGAGACCGTCCATGCATACAAAAAGCAATAAAAACCATGAACAAACAGAACACAGACCCAGTCTTCATAGGAGACATTAAGATGAACCTCCCCCCCCCCCCGAAACACCCCCACCGCATGTTTCTTGGTCTCTGAAGAATCAATTTATACTTTTAATTTTCTGAATAATTATTTTTTTTTTCAGTGATGGCCACGATAGATAAGAGAATGGGGGCACCTGGATTGCTCAGTCCGTTAAGCGGCCGACTTTGGCTCAGGTCATGATCTCACAGTCCGTGGGTTCAAGCCCCGTGTCCGGCTCTGTGCTGACAGCTCAGAGCCTGGAGCCTGTTTCAGACTCTGTGTCTCCCTCTCTCTCTGCCCCTCCCCCTCTCATTTTGTCTCTGTGTCTCAAAATAAAATAAGGACACAAAAAATTAAAAAGAAAAAAAGATAGATAAGAGAATGGATACAAATTCTCGGAGGACGATAATAATTCATGAATGCACACTCTGACCCCCAAAGTATCTGGTTTGATGCCAGGGCTAAAGGCCAGGAGAAGCAAATATCTGTGTGGTAGGAGTGGGTTGGAGGCAAAGGAGAAAAAAAGTAACAGGCAGAGCAGAGATGTTCAAAGAGGTACAATTCAGATATCAACACCTGTTGCCAAGCTTTAAAGGTAGACATGAGTGGCCTGTATCTGTACCTGATATAACATAGATATATGCTATGTTTGTATCTGAGTATGTAATTTGTTACTGAGGACAGAGATTAAGTCTGCTTTTTTATGTTTTAACTAACAACTTCGGGGACTCTCTTTTGTTTAGTATTGAGCACTACAAACTGATTTGTCACCACTTATAATTTTACATTAATTTTATATTTGGAAAAGAAGTATACACACTCATCTTCTGGTCCTTGAGTCACACCGAACAATAACTCCTTACGTATAAGGAAGATACTACCTCTTCCTATCTAAGGATATGGGTATAATCCTGCTCTTTTTAAAGAAAATGTTAATGTTTATTTATTTTTGAGAGGGGGGGGAGCGAAGGAGGGTCAGAGAGAGAGAGAGACACGCATAGAATATGAATGAAGCAGGCTCCAGGCCCCGCACTGTTAGCCAAGAGTATGATGCGGGCCTTGAATTCAGGAACCGTGAGATTGTGACCTGAGCCAAAGTTAGACACTTAACTGACTGAGCCACCCAGGCGCCCCAAAATCCTGCTCTTTTGTTATTTAAAAATTTTTTTTAATTTTTTATTTATTTCTGAGAGAGAGAGAGAGAGAGAGAGAGAGAGCGTGAGCAGGAGAGGGTCAGAGAGAGAGGGAGATGCAGAATCGGAATCAGGCTCCAGGCTCTGAGCTGGCTGTCAGCACAGAGCCCAACGCGGGGCTCAAACCCACGAACCGTGAGATCATGATCTGAGCCAAAGTAGGATGCTTAACTGACTGAGCCACCCAGGTGCCCCGAAGTCCTGCTCTTAAAGTAGGTTTGGTCCAGGCGGGATGTACAGTGATTTGAAGAGGAGACAGATAAAAGACACCCACAGGAAAAGCCACATGGCCCCATGGCATCTGTTTCTTTTGACCCTGTTTGCAAACCAGAGGCAAGTGAGTTCTGGAGAGGTTTCTAAGGACCCAGAATAGAGCTCTGTCAAGGGTGCTAAAGATAACTTCACTGATCTTTGTCTACCCAACGACTGTTTCAGGTACCGTAAAAGAAACCACAGATCGGTTTCAGGGTTTAGGGTAGAGCAAAATTTATTTTATAAGGCAGTGAATCGTCAGTTTATTATTCTGATCAAGGGACCAAGGTTTGCCAGGGATAAACAGGATTATTATGTACCAGGCTCTTCTGGTTCCCAGGAAAACAGCCCATGAATGATACAAACTCAAGATGACCAGTTTGGGATGATGAAAGTCATACTTACTCACCTAACAGTAAACTATATGTTATAACTGTTCCTGAGTTGTGTCCAACATGTGATAAAATATTTTCTAATATACAGAATTCAGTGACATGCCTTGTCAACAGATTTCTGTTCTCTTACTCTCTCTGGCACTTCTGGTGGTTCAGCCCAACCTGTGAAGGTTAAAGAACCTTGAAAGCCCCAACTTCAAATGAAAGAAGGTTTCCTCCCTTGGACTGGATGGACATCACCCTAGTAGGAGACTGCCTGTCTCGCTCTGATTTTCCTGCCTTCACTTAACTCAGTCAGTCCTATACTGAGTGTCGTCCCGAGATTGTGGCGATGCTGACTCTCCAGAGCCTGCCCCCTGCCCTCCTTGTAGGAATGAGTTTGTCATAGGGCAGACACACAATTCTGTCCCCTCTTATTCCCTTTACATGTCACTTCTCAGCCCTAGGACACTTTAAAAGGAGGCTTTGGGTCTAGACTGTAAAGATTAGGGGTAATGTTAGTCTTAGGGCTCCCAGACAGTATCGCTCAAGTGTGGTCTCTTTAGAATGGTTGAACGTGGGGTGAGGGTAGAGCTGACTTCCACCCAGAGAACAATAAAGACGTTTTGGTGCCCTGGGTGGCTCGGTCAGTTGAGCAACCAACTCTTGATGTTGGCTCAGGTCAGGATCTTAGGGTCATGGGACCAAGCACCGAGTTGGGCTCTGCACTGAGCATGGAGCCTGCTTGGGATTCTGTCTCTCACTTTCTCTCTCTCTGCCCCTCTCCCGTGCTCTCTCTCTCTCTCTCTCTAAAATAAAAATAAAAAAGAAGCTTTGTTAATTTAGGAATCTAATATTTAAATAATAGGATTTCTTTTAATTCAGTTTAATTGGTATAAGATACGGGATTTCTAAACTAGCTGATACTATTACTGAACTGATACAGTTCTGAACTCAGCTGCTCGCCACTGGAAATCAACACCTGAGAAACAAATGATGGTAGGAAGCCAAGGTTGCTTTAATCAAGGAAGCCAGCGACCTGGGAAGATGGCAGACTAACTTCTCAAAGACCATCTCCCCACCCAGGCGTAGGTGGAGCGTTTTAAAGGAGAAGGCATGGGACAAGGGAGGGGTACGTGTGCAGGAGAGGCAGGTGCCCAGTCAGTTAGTTGTACGTCAACGTGACCCTGAACAGACTTGCTGGCCTCCATGGTACCTGTTTTCGAACGTAGTCAGGTCTTCTGGGAAAATTTGGTTCTTCACTTCTTAAGGCCAGAAGTACATAAACCTGAAGCAAGTTAACTCTTAAAACCTGTTGGGAGTGCTGTTACAATATCAAATTAACCAAGACCTCTATGATTTCAAGACAGTATAGATTGTATCAGTCTCATATTGCTCAGGGGTCATTGCTGTGCATAAATAATTGAAACTTTTAAAGAGGCCACGAAATCGATTAAAGTGTGCTCCCTAGAGAGAGACACATGATGTGTGGAGTTCCTTAGCGTGAAGCCGAACGAGGGATGGTCACCTTGTTACCAATGCACGATAAATACAGAAACCTGGAGTGAGCATTAGAAGCTTTTATAGCACTTGGGCAGAGGACTCTTTTATGCGTTGAATCGAATAATAAAAATATCTGGGCTTGAATTTTTCATCCTTTGCTTTTTATTTCATTTTTCTCATAACTCATTGTTATCGTATTTTCCAGAAGTACCCATTCTGGGACGGCTTGGAAAAACGAAAACGGTTGTTTATCACAGAATTTGAAAAGCTCTGAAGTAGGAGCTTACAGTACACCACTCATAATGTCCTATGAAATTCTTGGGTTCTCGGATTCATGGCATGTTCCAAATTTTGAAAACTGCTAATTCATACATGATTCAATTTAAAAAAAATTTTTTTTAAATGAAATCAATGTTCATTTTTCCAAAAGGGATTTTTTTTTAAAAAAAAAGAGAAAAAAGCAAGTCTCGGACGAGAAGCTTGTCTGTTAAGTGGCAGAGCGCCTGGGTCTACACATCCCAGAAGGAGTGGAAAACGAAGTCGATGATAAGACCCAAACTTGAACTCCTAGACCCAAATCTTTTCTCTAAAACAAGCTCTGGTGCAAATATCCTGAGGCCTTCCTGCAATAGAGGCCAGGCGGAGGCGCCAGGATACAGACGCATCCCGCGCCCGGGCGCTCGGCTGGAGTAAAACCCGCGCCCCGCCCGCCACCGGCAGGTGCGGCGGGAGCCGTGCGGGGCCCGCGGACACCCGGGCTTCGTGGGGACAAGGAGCGTCCGGATTGGCTCGGGTGCGGCTCCGCCCCTCGGCCTACCTCACCCCACCCGGGGCCCGGCGCCTCGAGCGCACCGCCGGCCGCTATTGGAGAAGAGTCGATGACGCAAGGGGAGGCGGGGCCCCACCGGGTCCTGATTGGGCAGCAGCGGCGTGGGCGTGGTCGAGGCGGATTTCGGGCACCCGCGGGGCGGGGGCTGGTGTTGGCTTCCGGCCTGGGCGGCGGGTTCGGAGACCATGCGGAAAGCGGTGTTGGTCACCGGGGCGAGCAGGTGAGGCGTCCTCGGCGGTCGCGGCGGCGGCTCGGGGGGTCTCAGGCAGCTGGAAGTACGGGGCGGGCCACCGCCGGCGGCCGTCCCCGGGAGCGCGCGTCCCCGGCCTTGCGCTGCGGGGCCTCGCGCGAGCACCCGCCTCGCTGTTCCCGGGTCCCCGCCGCGCGCGGGGCTCGGCAGCCAGCGCCGGACTTAAACGTGACGGCGGAAAAGCGGCCGGGGGCGTCGCGGCGGCTCCTGTTGACGCCCGGGGCCGGGGCTCTCGCCACGCCGAACCCCGCCTCCTGGACCTGGTCCGTCCTGTGTTCCGGGATAGGTTTCAACAGCCGTGAGCAGGAGGACGGGGTGGCGTGTGTCCTTCCATCCAGCACAGCGCTGGACGCCTGCACACACTCTCGCAAAGTAGCCTCTTTCTGGAGTCCCGGGAGGAGCGCCCACAACCATCACCGCCCGTGCCTGGGTATTCCGGGGTTGCCGCGTGGACTTGGCCTCCTCTGTTTTCTCATCTGCGCTTACGGATGTGATGGAGGCCGAAACCAAGCCCGCCGTCCTCCGGCCGGTTGCGGCGGGAAGGGAGGAAGGCAGAGGATATGCCAGATGTCATCTAAAACCGGTCCACTTGCGGTTACCTAGCCGCATCCATATTAGCTAAGCCAGCATGACAGGTGTCTGTGAGGCGCCGTGGTCCTCTCCTGGGTGCCCTGACCAGCCGATACCAGGCTTCCTAAGCTGTCCTTTAAACGGGTCAGAGTTTGCTTCTTTTGCATACTTGCGGTGGATGCAATTGGATATTTATCCGAAAGACCTGCTGTAATCAAGTAGGGGGTGTAAGTGTAAATATATCTGATGCTCTGTTGGCAGAGCCCAGGCTTCCGCCGCTCCCAGCCAGGCTGGACTGAGTACGGTTCCCACCTACTGTGCAGTTCCAAATGCCTTTTCTAAGTAGTGTATCTGGCCTTGACTGGTCCTCTTTCGTGGTGCCCATCTTCTATTTCCTCTTCCTACCTTCTACTTAATCACGTTGAGTTTTTTCTCCTCTATTGGTTATTCGAACTCGTAGTAGTTGAGAGGGGCGTGCCTCCTGCCGGGACACTGAAAGATCCACCCAGACGTTATCGGGAACTGCTCTTGCTCCTGAGAGTGGCCACCCGACCAACAGGGAGGAGAGCCCTTGCCCTTGAGAAACCTAGACAGCAAAGTAAAACATGCACGCGGGTGGGGCGCCTGGGTGGCTTAGTCGGCTAAGTGTCCGACTTTCGCTTAGGTCATGATCTCGCGGTTCGTGGGTTCGAGCCCCGCGTCGGGCTCTGTGCTGACTGCCAGCTCAAGAGCCTGGAGCCTGTTTCAGTCTGTGACTCCCTTTCTCTCTGACCCTTCCCTGCTCATGCTGTCTCTCTCTCTCTCTCTCTCCTAGAAATAAATAAAAAAAACAAAAAACAAACATGCACGCGGGAAACCACTAATATGATGCTCTTTTCAGCTCTTGCTGGTGATGTCCTGAATCACCTTCATGAGTGTCGTAACAATTGCAGAATGAAAGCTGCTGACAGGTCAATCACTGGGTTCAAAGACCGCTCACGTTTGCAGCACAGCTATTTGCGGGTTGCAGCTTCTGCAGAATGAGAGAAACAAACTGGACGGCGTCCGGAGAGAGTGACTGGCCCTAACTGGGGTGGAGGTTTCCTTTCTTTTAAAAGTTTTTGAGTCTTTTCTCCCCGCCTGGGCCCCTCACTGGACCTCACGTTAACACGGTCGGCTTTGTGAGCCGGAGGAAAGTGCCTCCGCGGCACCATTGGAATTAACGCGTGTTCTGTATCTGACTTGACCCCCCAGCGGCGTTGGCCTTGCCCTCTGCAAGCGGCTGCTGGAGGAAGATCATGAGCTGCACCTGTGCCTGGCGTGCAGGAATAGGAGCAAAGCGGAAGCGGTGCGCACGGCCCTGCTGGCCTCTCACCCCCTTGCTGAGGTCAGCATCGTGCAGGTGGATGTCAGTGACGTGCGGTCAGTGCTCCGGGCCGCCGGGGAGCTCAAGCAAAGGTATGCCTCCTGTTGATGGGTTTTCTCTCACATGACTGCACGACACAGCAGCGAATAGAATACGAAACATAGGGGCACCTGGGTGAATCGGTCGATTAAGTGTCCTACTGCAGCTCAGGTCATGATCTTACAGTTCGTGAGTTCCAGCCCCGCGTCGGGCTCTGTGCTGGCAGCTAGGAGCCTGGAGGCTGCTTCGGATTCTGTGTCTCCCTCTCTCTGCCCCTCCCCTGCTCACACTCTCTCTGTCTCAATGTCAAAAATAAATAGACATAAAAAATACAAAAAAAAAAAAAAAGACTACGAAAGGGTAGGGAGACCTAGAAAGAAACAGGTGCAGTGTAAGAAGTAGTTATGCAGGGTGATCCGTGGGGGTGACCCGTGGTATCTCTGCAGCACACCTTCATTCTCAGTCATAATCACAATGATTTCATGGGGATTAACTTACGAGGACACCCTGATGTGTGGTCGGTTGCGTGGACAGTAAGCTAACTCCTTGCTGAATGCAGTTTTTGTGTCTTCCCTCTGTGTAGCGCCTTCACGAAGTAGGTTGGACGGGTGTTGACATTTAACAAGTAAAGAGCCCGAGACACAAATAAGAGTAATGTGACTAAGGAGGTTGTAGGGCTTCAGATTGGTTGGGTGGGGCCCAGAACCAACGTCTACATTCTGTTTCTTCGGAGATGCCCCCTCCCACAGATCCCCCTCTCCCCACAGATTTGTTCACATCTGGACAGCAATGGGCATATAGCAGGCATTTGAGAAATATTTGGTGTATGAAGGAATAGGGTCCTTGGATATATAACTCCCTAGAAAGTGTGCACAAAATTGTATATAGGTACACAGAGCATTTTTTTTTTTCTGGGCAAGAGGGCATGCTTTTTTTTTTTTTTTTTTTAAATTCTAGGGGGAATTTATGATCTAGAAAGGTCAGGAGCCCTGCACTAGTCCATACAGAGCCCTAGGGATATGCGGAATAAGAGCCTTCGTCCTCAGTTGAGAGGAGCCCATCCTAGTACAGTCGACTTTTGAGATTTTTAAGCTATTACATTGACAGTATTGACTTTTCTCAATTGCCTTCAAAGCTTTGGGATATTTAGTTATCACAAGCTTAGTAACTTAGTATTTAGTTTGAGATGGAGTGATTTAGCAGAAATCTGAGGCTGCTGAACTGTAAGGTAGAAGCAGCACGAGGCAATACGTGACTGCCGTCAGCATTTTTGGGTGCCTTTGATGTATGTATTTCAATCTCAGAATGGCTCTCGCTGAGCTGAGTGGTATCACCCAAACTTAGGAAATGACAGTTATAGTAATAGTCGCAAATTTGGGGATGTGTGCTGCTGTCCAGAGATACCTATTGCAATGTCAGGAATCTCTTGGGGTGCCTGGGCGGCTCAGTCGGTTAAGTGTCCGACTCTTGGTTTCAGCTCAGGTCATGATCTCAGGATTCAGGAGTTCGAGCCCCGCTGTCTCTGTCTCTGCCCCTTCCTTGCTCAGGGTCTGTCTCTCTCTCAAAATAAATAAACTTTAAAAAACAAGTGAAAAAAGACTCTCCTGCACTTAATGGCCCCAAATGGTTGTCCATGATTGTAGACCTGAAGTAAATTTGAGCTGGAGAGAGCTGGGGACAGCTCCTCCCGTTGGCTAACACAGCACCATTCCTGACACCCGGGCTTTGTGGTCATGAGCCTCTCTTCTGTGAGCTACGTGTGGAGGAAAACCAGTGAGAAATCACCGTTATGTTTTAGCCGGAATAGAGCCCTTAGCCTTCCATCTGGGAATCTTCGAGAGCGGTTAAGTATGCCATTTTCCTGAAGCCAGACCTGAATCTGGCTTTCTGGTGCAGTTTCCACCCTTGGCGAAGCATTTCCTTTCAGTTCCTAGCAAGATGCGTTCATTTTCTTAGATGGAAGTGTACAAAATAGATAACGGAACATCCAACAGTAGATGGGCCCATGTGACTGTGATGCTGATGTGGAAGGCCCAGTAGTATCCATGGCAGCCTTTTTTTAATTGTTTTTTTTATAATTTAAAAAAATTGGTTTATTTTTGAGAGAGACACAGAGAGCGAGAGGGGAGGGGCAGAGAGAGAGGGAGACACTGAATCCGAAGAGGCTCCAGGCTCTGAGCTGTCAACACAGAGCCTGATGCGGGGCTAAAACTCACAAACCATAAGATCATGACTTGAGCTGAAGTCGGACGCTCAACCGACTGAGCCACCCAGGTTCCCCTCCAAGCCAGTGTTTTAAACAGTAAATTTAGTAATTAGAGTCATTTGGCTGTTAATTACGTGCAGACTGATGAAGAAATGTTTGTGTGTGATCTGTGTTGGTGAGCATGGATGTATTTTAAGGTCCCAGCTTTAGCAGCTATGGCCCGTGTTGTCTTGGACTGTTCACAGGAGGACACAGAGACCGTGTAATGCACAGAAGTCGAGATATTCTGAATATTCATGGTGTCTGTCACTATCACAAGGGCAGGCTTAAGAGGAATACACTACATTAAGTCTTTCATGGGGTTTAAATATGAGAGCTCTCTCTCCACATGCCTTCCCCCCATTCAACTCCTGTAATCTCTTGTATTCTTGTGAGCTCTCATCATGCCGTGATGCGGAGGAGCTGGCCACAAAGAATGACAGCTTTCCACGTGGTTCTTTTGCATTAGTAGGTGTCTTGGCTTTCAGGTTCCAGCATTAATGGGTCCGATTGGGCGATTACCAATACGATATAAATTTTACCTATCGATGGGAAGATGTGAATCTTAAAAAAAAGGCAAACACCTTCCTAAGACCAGAAGGAGCCGCCTTCTGGTTTAATAGAGGGCGGCCGCGTGCAGATCCTAATTGGTAGAACGGAGCTGGGAGGCGTGTTGATCTGAGATTTAACTTCAAAACCCATCATAGCCCCCCCCCGCCCCCCCCAAGTTCTGTTTGAAGCCACTGTCAGAAGAAGAAGACTCAAATATCTCCTGTGGCTAAAGAGACACCGTTGAGAAAGAAGTGGTGTGATGTGTGATGTGTGATACCCTCCCTTCAACTTGCCGTGGCCACGTTTTTGGCTCAGAAAGTGTTTTGTGCCCTTCACAGGCTTTCATTGTTCCCGTCGCTCTCGGGATAATGAACAGTTTTGGTGTTTTCCCTGCAGGCTTCAGAGATTAGACTATGTCTATCTGAATGCTGGGATCATGCCCAACCCACAGCTGAACCTCAGAGCACTTTTCTCCGGCCTCTTTTCAAGGTAATGTTCAGTTTCTAGATGAACTGAGTGCAAGGAATCCGTTCCCTTTTGTGCCTGGTTTTGCCCTGGGCAGGTGAAGTTGGAGTCCGGGGAGCGGTGGAGAAGAATCAAGAGGAGGGGTGTTGCGGCCACATCATGAGGGAAGAGTATCCATTTTTTGCGGGAAAGGCTGGAAGTCATGGATCTCAGGGTGTTCTGGGTCTCCAGAACATTCCAAATGGCTAAATGTTTCAGAAAGTCCATTTCTAGTCTGCCTGGGTGTGTTTAGCAGCAAAAACATTTCAGAATTAGGCAGAGTTGTCAGCGAAGTCGGCTTTGGAAGCACCTCCCAGCTCTGTGACCTGTAGTAAGAACTACACCTTATTGTGTGACCCAGTGTACTTATAAATAGATACTCATACCCTTCCTACGTGCTACTTACTGCATTGCTGCTTCTGTTTTACTTCTCTTTCATCACACACGCACGCGCATGCGTGCACACACCTCCCCCACACACACTGGTCTTGACCTACTAAATTGATCTCACAGCTAATCACCATGTTAATATGTTCACTGCTTCAAGAATTCCCAGTAAAAAACCAACCTGTGTCGCAGTTCACCATCAGTTGTGCGGGCGGAGACTTTTTCCTCCTCGGTGTGGCTGCTATTTCACCCAGAGAGGGGCACCTGCACCCTGAGGTGCAAAAAGGTGAAGAGAATTTTAGCAGCAGGTTTTTTTGGGTCAGGTCCCTATTGGTAGTAGGAGCTAGAAGTTCGTAAATTCTTCTCTCCATTGGGAGAAAGGAAGCATTTTTGTATCTTATTTATGTACTCCCAGTGACACAGTCTGAGAAATAGGTATTTTTATTCTTTTTTTATAAAATGTTTACGTATTTTGTGAGAGACAGAGAGTGGGGGAGGGGCAGAGAGCGAGGGAGAGAGAGCATGCCAAGCAGGGCCCCAGGCTGTCAGCACAGAGCCCGACGCCGCAGGGCTCGAACTCGTGGACCGTGAGATCATGACCGGAGCCAAGTTGGCTGCTCAACTGATGGAGCCACACAGGTGCCCCAGGTACTTTTATTCCCGAAGCCACAGGATCAAGGAAAATGTAGTTTTCGGGCAGGGGAAAGGGCGCAGGGAGTGCTTTTCAGGATCTTCCATTAAAGCTTGTAAAAGTCACACAACTGTTTTCTCCTATTCCAGAAACGTGATTCATATGTTCTCCACAGCTGAAGGGCTGCTGACCCAGGAAGATAAAGTCACTGCCGACGGGCTCCAGGAGGTGTTTGAAACCAACGTCTTCGGCCACTTCATCCTGGTAAGGAGACTTCCGGCTCAGCCGGCTCACACGAGTGTTGTAATCCTGAAGCCTCTCAGTTCCGCTCATGAATTCCTGGCTCCCGTTAAATCCTTGAGGATTGAAATCGGCTGATCACTGAACTCTGTGATGACAGTGCTTCCCTAAAGCAGTGTAGTGATATATTCATTTTTTCTTCTGCCATCGGCTCTAGAGAATGGAGAGAAAGTGAAAGCAGTACCCAGAGTGTGTGTGCGCGCGCGCGCATGTGTGCGCGCAAGAGCATGTGTGCTTGCGTGAATGTGTGTATGCGCGCACACGTGCAGGTGTGCATAGAACTATGAGAAAGTGTGCCTGGCCTGTTCTGAATGGTCTTTGGCCCTGCGCTTGGCGTCAGACAGGATGGGGTGGTGGGCGAGCCGTTGCAAAACAGTAATTCATACCCAGGCCTCTAGGATCGTGATCGCTGATCCTACGGCCTCTGCGCGGCGTTACGGTGTCAGGCCCGCATGTGACGGCAAGCAAGAGACGTGCGGCTTGCCAGGCTTGTGCAGGGCTCTTGCCTCGGGTAACCCCACCGGACAGCTTTAACGCCTATGTCAAGTTAGGCCCGGCCACGTTGCAGGTTGCCTGTAATTCCTTGGTGTTGGAATTGGAGGGACTCCTTCTGATGATGGCTTGGCCGGCACGGAACGTGCATTTGACACCTTTTTACTCGCCACCGCTTTTCTCCACCTTGAGCCTAATTTCCCTTCAAACTGGACCTCATTCAGTATCATCCTGTATTTACAATACACGACGATGTGGCCAGATGTTGGGACGTTATGGACCCATTAAAAGACGTGAGATACATGGTTTGCACTTTGGTGGTACAAGCTTCTAACATTTTATTACACAGGAGGCACGGCAAGCTGTGATATGTGTGGTGTGATCTCATGTGTATGAGGAAACAGTAGAGGAGTATCCTCACGGAGAGTAGATACAGGCGTCTCATGTTTCTAGAATGATACAGAGGAAGCGGGGAGCTCTGGTTGCTTTGAACTCGGGTACCAGCAAGGAGGGAGAGAGCTTCATGTTTCATTCTGTAACCTTCGGTGCTGTTTATTTAACGCGGTACGGTATTACTCTTTCAATGGCAAAAGTTCATGAAAATGTAAAGTCAGAATGGGATTGAATTTTTGCTCTTTTTTTTATACCTTTCCATAGATCAATTATCTAGTATCTCCTGTACCTTAAAAAAAGTTTTTTTGACATATATTTATTATTGAGAGACAGCACAAGCAGGAGAGGGTCAGAGAGAGAGGGAGACACAGAATCCGAAACAGGCTCCAGGCTCTGAGCTGTCAGCACAGAACACCACGTGGGGCTCAAACTCACGAACCGCGACACCATGACCTGAGCCGATGTCGGACGCTTAACCGACTGAGCCCCTCAGGCGCCCCCTCCGTATCTTTATATAATACTCATTCTTTGCCCTCCTCTTGAATTATTAGATTAATTGATAATGATAGAATATAATTATTCCTATTACTACTCTGTTAATGTTTTGATGAATCTAGTTTTTAAAAATTAGTTTGTTTAGAAGATCAAGTATTTGGGTCATCTGGATTCGGGGAATGGCAGAGGAGAGTGGTGGCCATGGGCACAGGTGTCCTGGTGACGTGGCCCAGCCTGTGGATCCTTACAAGGTGGGCATGGCAGCTGGGGATTGGGGATTGAGCTGTTTAGTAAAATAATCAGAAGGCTTAGAATGCTTCCCCCTCTCTTTAAATTAGGTTTAAGAATCTTACCACTTTCTCTACAGCACAAACTTTGATTCAAGTTTCCAGATGTAAATGCATTTTATAAATGGATCCATCCCAAGTTTGATTATATGCAACATGACTAAACTTTTTGATCTGTTATAAAGAATAGAGGTAATTTCTGTGAAGTTCCAAGCACAGTGTGATATTACAGCCGAGGAACCAGTGACCTTGATTTAATCTCCTGTTTTTGAGTTTTCCTGATGGCCTTTGATTTATTTGTTCATCACAAATACGGTTGGAGTGCATCTGGAAGCTTCCCTAGGTTTTTCTTCAGTAAATTTTTTTTTTGTTTTAGAATAGTTTGATTCTTGCAAATACAGTACAGAGAGTTTCTGGACCCCCTCCCCCCCACACACACACACATTTTCTCTCTTACTAACATCTTTCCTTGATGTAGTACATTTGTCGGGATCTGAGAACTCATATTGATACATTATTATTAGTGGGAGTCCAAACTTTGTTCAGATTTCTTCAGTTCTCTAACATGCCATCTTGGACACCACAGTCCATTCAGTAGCTATGTCCTTAGGCTCCCCTTGGTTGTGACAGTTTTTCAGACTACCCTTGACTTTAATGACCCTGACAGTTTTGAGGATCACTGCTGAGGTATTTTGCAGGCTGCCCTCATCTGGAATTTGTCTGAAGTTTTTCTCCAGGTTAGACTTGAGGAATGTGTTTGTGGGAGGAGGACCACAGAGGTGAAGTACCATTGTCATCACGTAATATCAAGGGTGTGAACTGTCACCATGACTTATCAGCATTGATGCTCTCTTCGATCGCCTGGCTCAAAGTAGCGTTGGTCAGGTTTCACATTGTCGAGTTCCTCTCTATTTTCTCTCCTTTTCCATATTGTACTCTTTGGAAGAGAGTTGCTGTGTGTAGCTCACACTTAAGAGGTTGTGGTTGACCCCCTGAAGGGTCAATTAGCCACCTAAGTTATTTGGAAGTTTTCTGCAAGAGAGATTTGTCTGTTTTCCATTTAATTCTTTATTCAATCATTTCTTTGTTGATTTGATCTCAAAAAAGCTGAAAAATCATTTATTATATATATTTAATATATATCATATATAAAATCATAATATATATTATATATATACTATATTCCTGTGGACTGTGAATATGTATTTCCAACTTTGAGTTGTAAATACTGTTATTTTGTGAACAAAATAGATGTGCTCAAATGATTCAGTTTGGGCCACCAGGAGTTCTCTCTGTTGGATCCTGCATGTCTTTGATGTAGCCTCATTGTCATGGCTTCCCGTTTATGTTTTGAGCATGTCCCTTCTGGCATGACAAGGTGCTGTGGGCTCATCAGGTGGATTTCCTGCCCCTGTCCCAGAATCAGCCTTTTTCTCTAAGGAGGTCTGGTTCCTCTTACTGGACGGTGGTATTAGAAACCAGGATTCAAGTGCGCGTTGCTATTGACGTATCATAGCTTCTAGGCAAGCAGAGCAGGGGAGAATCCGTGTGTAGTAGCCTACACCTCTGTAAGTATTTATAAGTTTTTTTATACATAACCCTCTGTATCTCTATAGCTAAACATCCGCTCATCTAATGTTGCAGACGAAATGACACAAAGGACAAGACACACACAAAAGACAGACAGAGACACAACTCCGGCCGGAGGAACAATTCTATGCAAGCCCCTCTTGCGGTTTATTTTATACCCGGTAACTGGATACAAACTGAAATCTACAAGATGCATTCCTTTACCAATTAAGGGCAAGTAGCCAAACACATTTCAAGGACAGCGGGGAGCAAAGGGAGGAAGCGACCACAACATGTTTACTAAGAGGCCTGCTCACAATTCCAGCCTTCTCCTTATTTCTAAGGAGGGCATGTTCCCTCGTTTGCGAGCGGACCATGAAACTTGGATATTGTGTGCAGGCATGCTTTGCCCAGGCAGGGAGCCCCGCGTGCAGGCACATCCCCGCGTCCCTAACCACGCTTTCTTGTGGTCACTGTCGGGCTCCCACAATCTAATGTCTCGGACTCATTTCCGCACGGATCATTCTAGCCTCCTCTGGCGCGTGTCTCTAGGAGCTGCCCCAGCAACGACATACCTGTTCGGTTCCAGCATCCATGTATAGTTGCTTCCCAGCTGTTGCCCTGTACGCCTCCAGCAGATTTTGATCCATTTTTCTGTTCCTTTTTTGTTCTGTTTTTAAATCTCATTCAGATTCAGGAGCTGGCCCCTCTCCTCTGTCACAGTGACCGTCCTTCTCAGCTTATCTGGACCTCGTCTCGTAATGCAAGGAAATCGAACTTCTCCCTTGAGGACATCCAGCACCGCAGGGGCCTGGAGCCCTACAGCTCTTCCAAATACGCCCTTGACCTGCTCAGTGTGGCTCTGAACAGGAACTTCAACTCGCAGGTGAGGCCTGTCTCCGCGATGCGGAAATGGCAGGGTGGTCGTTTCTGAGCTACAGTTGATTTCCCAGTGATGTTGGCTTTCTGTTAACGATAGTCGTTGAGAAGACGCGGTAGTGTTTCTTGAGCGGGATTGCCGTGAAGACCAGAGAAGACACAAAGAAGACTGATGTGGTGGTGTGTGCCAAAGCTTTAGGGCAGAGATAAGCAGCTCCTGACCTCAGGTGCGTGGGCATTCATTCGCCGCCCCGCAGCTCTTCGGCACCTAGGACTTGCGCAGCCGAACGGCACCACGAACAATGCCGGTACTTACTGCGCAGGGCCTGTTGTGTTTCAGGTGCTGTATCCTCTACCTGTGTACGTCATTCAGTGCCCTTTCTGCCCCGGGGAGGTGGGTCTGGAATCCCCATTTTCGTATGAGAACACAACAGTTTGGAGCAGTCGCAGTGGTCACATGACTAGCTAATGGTAGAGCTCAGAGCTGAGCCTGGGGCTGTGTCACCGTGGGCTGGGATTTTCCCACTGAACCATGCTGTGTCCCTGTATCAGATGTTACAGGACAGCCGGGAGTGACCAAGCCTTCTGCGTGGTGGCCTTTGGTGAGACTCCAGAGCTCTGTCTTTATGCGGACTCTGGGTTTACGGGTGTATCTTTGGAGAAGTCATGCTGGCTCCTCGTGGCTGTCGTGTTCTGGAACTTAACTGCTCTGAATGTCTCTCTTGCTCAGGTCTAAAATCCTCAATGAAAATCTCCAGGCTTTCCCGTGGCCGTTTCCTTTGTTGGCCTTGACCCTGCTGTTTGAGTGTGGGACTGTGGAGAAATTTAATTCCACTGATATTTACGAAAGCCGTACGATGTTTAGGGCTCGGGGCCAGGCTTAGGGTTTTGGAGAAAGCAGAGATAAAAAGGTAACCAGGAAGCTGTGTGCCCTTGAGGGACCTTCTCTGATGATACATCAGACACGGTTGAAGACTTTTTTTCAACATTCATTTATTTCGGAGAGAGAAAGAGGGAGACAGGATCTGAAGCAGGCCCCACACTGTCAGCACGGAGCCTGATGCGGGGCTCGAACCCACAAACCGACAGATGGTAACCTGAGCCGAAGTCGGCCACTTCACCGACTGAGCCACCCAGGCGCCCCTATAAATGCACAATTTTGTGGCAGCGCATGACATGTCATTTGAGGTAGAGTGTCCTAAAATGGCGTTAGAAGCACAGACAGATCTGGGCCTGTCAGATCTATGAAGACACCAGCACAATTACGAGGAAGAATGTGAAGAATGTTTATTTCTCGACATCATGAGACTGAGGCGTATGTACTTGGCCTTCTGTGATTGTCTAGACCGGGTTTATTCTGGAATAGATGGCTTATCACATGGAGCTCTCTCTTCTGTGCTCCGGGTCCTGGAACCATGCCTCTCAGCGAAGAGTCGAAGCTGAGAACATTCTCCTAGAACAGGATTGGAATCCTTGGGCAAACTATTGAATCTCCCCGCACCTCAGTTTCCTCCTCTGAAAAATAGGGATGAAAGCAGTGCCTGCTTCACAGATTTATTAGGAGGGTTGACGAGGGGGCTCGTGCAAGGCTGTCGCAGCAGCGGTCTCAGAATGTGTGTGTGCGCACGAGGGCGTGCCTGCCCGCACGCACATGCCTGGCTTGGGGGCGTGTGCAGATGTGTCTGAATGTGATGGTATATGCGGCGTGTTCACCTGCGTAGGCATCCTGTGTGTGTGGAACGCATGTGGTCCACGGATGTGCACCTCTGCCGGCACGCGTTTGTATCATCCATCGTCGTCACTGGTATTGTTATTATTATTGTTTGAGTTCAATGTGTCGGTCCAGTCGTTAGGCTCCTTCTGAGGTTTCCTTAGATGTTTTAAAAGTTGTCACAACTGCTTATTCTCTGGCAGCTCCCTTCTGGGGACAAGGTTAGAGTGGATTAGCTGCTCTTTTCATAAAACACTCTGGGATTTTACATATGTTTTAAAAGCTTTGGGATTTCACCTTTTACAAGGAAGGGAGATTTAGCTAATGCTGCTGCCATTAAGATCTGTATGATTGGTTTTCAGCCCATGGCTTTTCCTCCTTGGCTTTGATAAAGAAAGAACTGCATCCTTATTTTATTTTTTAAGTTTACTTATTTATTTTTGAGAAGGAAAGAGCATGAGCAGGGGACGGGCAGAGAGAGAGAGAGAGAACCCCAAGCAGACTCTGTACTGTCAGCGTTGAGCCTGATGTGGGGCTCAAACTCACTAACCACAAGATTGTGACCTGAGCCGAAAGCAGGAGTCGGCCACTTACCCGACCTAGCCACGCAGGCGCCCCGAGACCATGCCATCCTTTTGGAGGCTCGTCGCCTGGAAATGCCGGCCGGTCCGTGCGGGCTTCCTGGTGGAGTTCAATCATTCATTAGCCACCGCTCACACACGTCTCACAGAGCCACTCAGGTCATCCCGGCTCGTTCCCTGTGGCGTGTGGGGGGACCGTGTTCTCGGACGAGGCTAACTCCTCTGTTGCAACCCTGGGTTTCAGTTCACGGACTTCTTCACTGAGGGCTGAATGGTCCCTAACTTCCTCGCTCGCTCCCAGAATAAGAAATCCTCCTTAGCTCTCTTGGGGGAGAAATAGGTTACTTTCTTGGGAAGAGCTTTGGGTCTCTGACAAGTCCAGGCCCTTAACTTTTTCCAGGCGACCTTTGGTGAACCACAGGACCTCCGGGGGCCGGATTGTGTGTGGCAGGTGCCACCAGGCCCCTGCAGCTCTGAATAAAGAAAGAGAAACCTCTAGCTTCTGTTACTCAGGGCACTTTCTGTCCACTGACCAGTTGGTGGTACGCTGGCACTTCCTGTTTTCTTTTAAAAAACAAAAGGTGCCTGGGTGGCTCAGTCGGTTAAGCGTCCGACTTCGGCTCAGGTCATGATCTCGCGGTTCATGAGTTCGAGTCCTGCATCAGGCTCTTTGCCAACAGCTCAGAGCCCGGAGCCTGCTTCTGATTCTGTGTCTCCCTCTCTCTCTCTCTGCCCTCCTTCGCTCATGCTCTCTCTCTCTCTCTCTTTCAAAAATAAACATTAAAAAAATAAATAAATAAATACAATTAAAGTAATAAAAACAGGAGTTAAAATGGTCAGTAGCTACATAAGGTAAAATGTAGTAAAAGTTGAACGAAACAAACTAGTGAAAGTAATCCCAGTGCTCCAAGGCTCAGTCAGGCCCACACAGGGCCCTTCCTGGTAACTGGGTCCTCTTTCTAGGGCAGATCTTTCTCAAATGACAGGTACTGGGTGGAGGAGCTGACGGAGAGCCGGGCAGTGGGAGCGACATCTTTGTGGAGCCCCACCCACCCTCCATTCCCCTCTCGTGATGCGCTCCTACCTCAAGCGACAGGTGTGCTTCGTATGTGCCTGTGGGGGACAGACAGAAGCCTTTAGGTTACGTACTAGATCAGAAACATCTTGAAGGCAGACACTGTCTTGTATCCATCATCTTTATCTTCAGGATTTATTGCGATCGATAAGCTGGTCTTCGATTCTGCCAACACGTGGCCCTCCTAGAACCAGATCCTGCTTTTCTCTTCCAGCCTCCAGCGTGGTTCTTGTGCTGTGGCTTTCTTGAGAACAGAGACCCTGTCTTAGCCAACTTTTGCATCCTGAGTGCCTCTCTGTAGTGAGTTGTCTGCACAGGATTCTTACGCTGAAATGGCTCGTCCAGCTGGGAGGGTGGCTCGGAGCGCAAACCTTTCGTGCCCTGGCCTGGCCTCCTGGCTCACCTGCGCGTCTCCTGTGTTCATGAGTGTAGACGGGCTGAGTTGGTACGCACGGATTTTGAATCTTATGACCGGCCCTCTCTGTGTTCCCAGGGTCTGTACTCCAGTGTGGTGTGCCCGGGTACAATGGTGACCAACATGACGTGCAGAATCCTTCCTCCCTTCATGTGGACCCTGCTGATGCCAATCATAGGGCTGGTGAGTGCCGTTCACTCCCCTTCCTGCTTTTCTTTCTCTTGGACTTGGGACCAAAGAGGTGCCTTTAAGGGCTGGGAAATGATTTAAGCAATTGAACCAGAAGGTGGCAGACTTACACTTCCTCTGAGGTTTTTAAAGCTCCTTGGTTAAGTAACCTCTACATTTCCCGCTGCGCTCCCCACCCGAGTGGCCCCTTCCCTTTAAGGGAATGAGTCTTTGATCATGCACCGTGGCTGCCACTAGGTCAAGGATGGCAGGATTTGGGGAAACCTGTTGGTAAAGTGGGTTTCTCGGAGCTGTGTCGTGTGCATTGAACGTTCACTCAAGAAGGGAATGGCTGTGCCTCGTGTGTCCTCGGAGCCACGTTTTTGCCCTTTCGTTTTTGTTTTGCATTTTGAGCCTCTGGTAGGACCTGAGCCCCCCGGTGCACGTTAGAAAATGCTGACTCACGGGAAAGGTTTCTCTCTCGCAGGGCTCTGGGGAAAAGCATCCCTCTGTTGTAGCCGGCCTGGGAAAAGACGAGAAGGAAGTATGCCTCCGTGGTAAATAAAAGCGGTTGGCTCGGAGTGATGGAGATTATATGATATTTCTCTTTTAGACTTTTGATACTTACAAAAATATTCCATGATATGAAATGCAGGTTATCTTGTTTCAACACGTGAATGAATAATGCTTTGGTGACTGTCTTCTGAACCACCACAGAATGACTATTCTTTTCTTTTCCCCAGCTTCGCTTTTTTGCAAACGCTTTCACCATGACGCCGTACAACGGAACGGAAGCCCTGGTAGGTGCCTAGCGTTGCAGTCGCTCAGCAGGCATAAGTGTACTTATTTACTTATTTTAAATGTTTACTTATCTTTAGGAGAGAAGGAGTGCTAGCGGGGGAGGAGCAGAGAGAGGGGGACAGAGGGCCCGAAGCAGATTCTGTGCTGACAGCAGAGAGCCCGATGTGGGGTGGGGCTCGGGCTCGAACTCACGCACCGTGATGAGATCGTGGCCCGAGCCAAAGTCAGACGCTCAGCCAGCTGAGCCACCCAGGTGCCCCATAGCGGATATAAATTTTAGCTCACTGGTAGTGAAACGATTTCTACAGAAAAGATAAGCTCTGTGAGTAATCAGCACTGCTTTGGACTAAGGGGACCCTAAGGCTGAGTGCAGGGTACGAGGAGTGACGTTTAAGTTTGTATCCGCCATAGCACTGGATTCCGTGGTTGTAGGGACTGTGTTGCCTGCACTCTTGGCCTTCAAGATGACCTTCTCTGTGGAACTGCTGGCCCGGCCACCATCCCCTCTGTGTGCCCTGCAGGGGTCCGCTGCTCTGCTGTGGATCTTCCACAGACGTGGAACGCCTACCAAGGCACACAGAGAGGATGGTGGCGGGGCCGGCAGTTCCACGGAGAAGGTCATCTTGAAGGCCAAGAGTGCAGGCGACACAGCCCAACTCCATTTCCTTCTATGAAGATGCTTGTTCCTCTGTTTAAGTATTAGGGAATCAAGTTGTTACTATATGAGAAAGCCAGTGCATCTCCTTAAATCACACGTGGCAGCAGGATTCCATGGGCAGATTTTACTCACTACTACAGATTTTACTCATTACTCACTACGCAAGTGATGCCTCTGAAGATTTGTCGCCCCGGGGACTCAAGGGCACCCTCTGCTAATGGGTCAGAATTGTCACACAAGACCAAGCTTATCTGTCCTCGGTCACCGCAGTGCGTGTACTTAGTAGCTTCTTAATCTTGGCTGAATTGAAGTCACCTAAGGAAAACACGAATGGAATTGGTCGCCACTCTCCCGTTGGTAAACATTGCAGAACTAAATGTATTTATTATAGGGACACAGATTGACTATAGAAGCAAGTGCTTTTAGGCCAGTTCTAATTAGTCCTTAATATATCTACCAAGGCATTAATAATGTGATTACTCATTCCCATCTCAGATACTGAAAACCGGGTGTGGAGGTCAAGTATATACTGAGTGTCGGTGGTGTGAGGCACTTAGAAGGCAAAATCTCCAGTTACTAAGGCACTTAGAGTCATATTTAGAAAAAAAACGAGCATAGAAAATAGGCCAGAAAAGAAGGCATTCTGTCAGCAGGCGGTAAGTCCTCAGAATAATCAGAAAGTAGAAAATACGCAAGTAGATGAGCTGCTCTGTCATCAGGTGGCAGGTCCCCGGAGTAATCGAAGAGGGTCAGTGGGAGCTGGGCTGGTTGAGGCAGACTTTGCTCACTTACCAAGAGGGGCTTGATCTGGGCTCTGAGGATAAGTGGGCTCTGGATAGGACAGCATGACCCATGTCGCAGTTGAAAAAAAAATCTGTCGTGACCCTGCTGTTTTTTCCTAAAATGTGGATGGATGAGTCAGTATCCCCCTGACTGCCTTCTAGTGATGGGTGTAGATGCTGGTGGATATGCAGGGATGAGGATTTGGGCACAGCGCACGTGCAGTAAGGGTCTCAGACGAGATTCAGCTCCTTACGTGGATCTGAGCCAGCGTGGCCAGAAGCACAGTGGTTGAGGGTGTGGGCTCTGGAATTCTACTGATTCTAGTGATTCTCCTCCGATCCCGAGTCTCCAGTTTCTGGCTGCGAACCCCGGGGCACATGTTCTCATTTGTCTAAGCCTTTCATCGTTATCTGTGAAACAAGAATGACAGGCATAAACAAGAGGAGGCTTCCTGTGAAGGATTTTGTGTGTCTCAGTATTACTGATTTTAAAGGAAACTATCTTAATGAAAACAGTGTAGTTCTGGCATGGGCATTGACGGGTCACTGGAGTAGAAGAGAAAGTTCCGGACAGGCCCACAGCCGACAGACATCTAAGTGTATGATCATGATGCCCTTCCAAATTAGTGGCAGAGAGGGGTTATTCCAGAATTTGTGCCAAAAAATAGATTAGGATCTTCATACCTCGAACCTAAATAAAAGTCTAGATAAATTCAAAGATTTACACATGAAAGTTAAAATATATAATGACCGGAAGGAAATATGGGAACATTTTTAAATAGTCTAAGAGTGTGGGGGCTTCCTTACTCCCAGGAACTGACGGAACATTTTGATTTACTGAATCAATCCAATTTTGTGTGACCCAAATCCTCACCATAAATATACCCCAAAGACTAACCACACAAGGTGCAAGAAACGGGTAGTAGCGGGTTAATTTTCTTACCAGTTAAGGAGCTTCAACAAATCCAGAGAAACAACAGCCTATTGTAACAGTGGGCAAAGGGTATGAACAGAGGGTTTTAAAACTGTTTTAATCACACGGAAAGGTGCTCAACTTTACTCATACTAGGAGTCATGCACGTTCAGACTGCAATGAGATGGTTCCGCAGCTCTGATTAGCAGAGATGAGAAAATTTGGTACTGCACTGACCTCGTAGGGTCGTCAAGAGTGAGCGTCCTCCCAGCCAGCCAGGGGGAGAGCAGACTGACGTAGCCTAGGTCGAGGACTCTCTGGCAGGATCGTCCCAAACAACACATGCGCATCCCCTTGACCCGGAAGTTCCGTCATTGACATTTATCTTACAGACGTGCTCAGACTTAGATCATTCATCACAGCCTGGTTCATACCAGCAAAGACTGGAGACCGCGTTTATGTCCATCCTTTGGGAACTGGTTGTGTACATTACATCTGTGATTGAGTGTGGAAAGTTCCATCCATGAAATAGAACACTGCTTCTTTCCAGAAGAATGAGACAGCTCTCTATTTACTGATTTGAAAATCTCTCAAGGGCCTATTGTTCAAGTGAAAAAGGCAAAGTATGGAATAGTATATACATTTGGCTTCCGTTTAAGTAAGAGAAAAGGATTGCTTAATACAAATGGCGAATACATCTTCTTTGGAGGAATATAGAAGATACTAGCTTGCTTCCAGAGCTAGGTGGCTGGACAAGTGTGAAGGTAGGGAGACTTACTTTGTGCCAGGTACATCCCCTGCATGGTGTGCATGTTTATGCCTAGTAAGAACATGAAATAACACATCAGTGACCTGTACTTACCGTGGCCTGAGCTGAGAATCAACTCTGAAAAAAGCTAGTCTCCATGCTGTTAACTTTAATTTGGGATTAAGGAGAGAGATGGCTGAAACACAAGGGATTTTTTGCTTTAAATGAATTTCAAAGGGTACTATTAAGATTGCCCTACTTCCTTCCGTCAGATTACAGCAGTGGTCCCTGAAGACGTTACAGTTAGCTGATGATATTCAAGAGACATTTTAGAGTTTGTTAGGAGCTTGGCAGAGGGCTGATTACACGTCCCCACCCGCCTCGCTCATCTCGGGCAGAAGAAGAGACTCATTGACACCCTCTTCATTCCAGGTATGGCTTTTCCACCAAAAGCCCGAGTCTCTCAACCCCCTGACCAAATACCTGAGCGCCACCACTGGCTTTGGGAGCAATTACGTCACAAACCAGAAGGTAAGTGCGTTTAGGCTGTGGCTCCGCCGCAGAACTGCCCCCCCCCACGCGTCCCCTCCCACCCCCGCTCCCCAGCTTCCCTTCCCTGTTTTCTCTGCACTGGTCACTGGCATCACACTGGCCTGTTTTCATTTCCATCCGCTCCCTCCTGCCACCGGGCCTTTGCGTGTCCCTTCTGTCTACCTGAATGCCTCTTAAACCCCTCTTCTTTCAACTGATTGGTTTCTGCTTATGCTTGAGACCCCGGCTTGTACCTCAGCCCCCTGTGACCCAGTAGGCCAGGCCCGATGCCTCCGTCGTGGGCTCTCCTGACATCTCATGCCTCTTCTGTGTAGGAATCATTCAGCATCGGGCTTCTCTGTCGAATATACGGTCTGTGAGCAGCAGGATTTTACCCCCTTTCTTAGCATGTTGCCTCGCACACCACAGGTGCTCAATACATGTGTCGCAAGTGGGGTGAAATATAAAGCGTCTGAGTGAAGTTAACTCCCCTTTGAGTGTTTAGCTTGAGATAATTACTAGCTTCAATAAATTGCTATTATCAAGAGGCAGGGGATGAACAGTGGGAAAAAACCTGATAACACTATGTATTTTTAGACTCCGTGTCGTCTCCCAGAAAGAAGTCACACATGGAGTTTCATATAAGAAAATGGGAAAATTTATTCCGGACTTCTAAAACAATTTTTGTTGTATTTTTGTCCCTCTAAGCAAGGCTTCTTTCAGACTCCCATCTTCCACTGCCTCGTTTGTGTGGGAGGCATTGGCATGAAATAAAATCAGATTGAGACAAAGCAGTTACCTCAGCGATGTCGCATGATTGGCAGCGGCCTGGCCTGTGTGAGGAGCGCGAGGCCTCGGGGCTGGGCTCCTGCTTCCCACGGTGTCTGTTTACTAAAAATGAATCTGTGAACCGCCAGTGCTTCCCAAAATTTGTTCTGTGGGATTCTAGTTCCTTGAGAAGATTCGCAAAAAGCAGTTTGTCAGCCACATTTGAAAAATCCTTCCTATTTTATGCCCCCTTTTCTGAGGCTTCCATGATGCACACTTGCCCAGGGCAGGCTTGGAGGAGAAGTTGCTGCAGTTCGTGTGTGTGTGTGTGTGTGTGTGTGTGTGTATGTCCATCCTGCTGTTTCTGTTTCTTGACTCTATGACTTGTTTTTCCCTTCAAATCTTATGTAACACTTCATGGTATCCTGAAGGACGCATCCTTAGGAATTCTATTGTAAATTAATAAACTTCCCTGTTTTAAAAATTTTTTTTCTTTAACATGTATTCAGTTTTAAGAGATAGAGAGTGAGTGGGGGAGGATCAGAGAGAGAGGGAGACACAGAATCCAAAGCAGGCTCCGGGCTCTTGGCTCAGCACCCCACATGGGGCTCAAACCCACAAACCATGAGGTCATGACCTGAGCTGAAGTCGGATGCTTAACCAACTGAGCCGTCTAGATGCTCCAATAAGCGTCCTTTAAAAAAGGCCTGTAGAGGGATGATTTGTTTATCAACAGGAAGAACGTGTTTAATTCTGTAAACCAAAATATTTTATTGGCATATCACTGAAATACATTGAAGAAAGTGTTTTAAACATTGATTAGTTCCGAGGAGTAAGCTTTCTCCTCTGTTCAAAGGTGGGGTTGGATGAGATCGCAAATGCCTCTCCCTGTTCCAATGTGGGAAAATGCGTGACAACATTTACAATGAATGTAAATGTTGTTTCCAAAATGTTAAAAAGTTGTTTTTGATTTTCAGCCTCAGCTTTAGGAACAAAAGAGCCTTTTTTGTTTGTTTGTTTATGAAGTTTAGGCTCTGTGTTGACTTGAAGAGATACTACGTTATCTTATAGGGGCTGAAAGCTTGCTTTTATATCTGTTAAAATGGAAGAATGTGAAATACCAGCGGATTAAGCAAGATGGAAGCTTAGATTTCTTGCCTGTAGAAGCAGGTTTGGAGAGAGAGAGTGTTGGGCCCGGAAGGCACCCCCCAAATTGTCAGGCCCCCAGGGTCCTTCAGTCACTGCTCTGTCATCCTTAGGGTGTGACTCTCACTCTTCTGGCTCAAGAGAGCAGCCCAGAAGCAGGGAGAAAGAAAGGGCGGCTCATGCCATTAAAGGAGACCCCTGGGCAGTACCCCACGCTTCCGCTCAGATCTCATTGGCCAAAGCGTGATCGCATGGCACCCAACATGGTCAGTGGACCCTGGAAATGTGGGCTTTTACCTGGAAGGCAGTGCCCCCAGCTAAAACCAGGGCTCCTTATGAAAGAAGGTGGACATTAGGTAGATGGCAGTTTAATTTCAAAAAACAAAACCTTTTTGATCTTTCTCTTTTGTCCTTACATGGCAGTAGGTTGATGTCTTCTGTTACTGGATACACAGGGGTGAGGGGAGAGAGCAAAACCAGATCTTTCAGTCCCGCTGTGCCAGAGCAGCACCGGTAGGTTTGTTGAGTGTTGGAGTTTGGTCTTGACGTGTCCTCAGGATCTCGGGGTCGGGAAACCCCAGCCCGGTCCCGCCTGCCCAGTTCCTCTGTTTCCGGTTCTCTGACGTATGTTGGGCGCCTTCCCTTTACGCACACACCATTGGTTTCATTTACCCTCTCTGGTCATCCCTATCTTTGCTTGTTTTCTAGATGGACCTAGATGAAGACACTGCCGAAAAATTTTACCAAAACTTACTGGAGCTGGAAAAGCACGTGAGGGCCACCATTCAACAAAGGAATCATCAGAGCTGACGGCCACCGTCCCCGGAACACCGCCTGCCTTCCGGGTTCCCGTTGAGTTGGGGCGTGTGCATTTGTGGGACACCATGAACTAGAAGTGGCTCTTTTCCTTCCTCTCAGGATTCTCTCTGAGACTGTGTGTGTGTGCACGTGTGCGTACGTGTGAGAAGAAGGTGGAGAAGTAAAATGTCCGTTAGGTATTCTCCAGAATGGTGTCACAGCAAAATTGTGCCAGGGCCACCCCACCAAGTGCGTGTTCGTTGGTTCTGCCGACACGCCGTGGGGTGAGGCGTGGGCCCGAGTAGCCATGGCTCAGGCACTCACTGGCCTTTCTGTACGGCCGCTTGAGCAGGAGGAAGTGCTGCGCACTCTTCTGGGCGGTAATCTGAGCTCTCTGCCTTTTCTTATGAACGGTTTCCTTCTGTCTTGTACCTGATTTCTGATTTCTACGTGCTGCTTCTAAAAACCCTAACATTGTTAGAATCCTAACAGTCCTCATCCAGATACCCCTGTAGTTAATCACAGGAACCAAAGTATATGTGTGTTTGGGCCACTTGAATTATTTCTTATATTGAAAGCGTTCTTAATGACGTTGAGGTGGCCTGGGTCAATACTGGGCCTGACCTTTAACACCATTTGCACATTTGCTCAGTACCGACCACCCTGTGTCCACGATTATATTTTAATGTATGCGGACTTGCAGCAAAACAGGATTTACTCACATTGTCTCAGGCAGATTTTCCAACTGAATAGTTGCTGGGGGGCTCTCTGCTGGCAGCAGCAGCGGTCAGAGGTGGTTAAGACTCAGGTTTGCGTGATCCGAAGAGAAATGCTATAAAATGCCTAGATGTTCTTATCCTAAATACAGCCAACACCCTACCTGGATTATAATAAAGCGAGCAAAGTGTTGAATCACTTAATAAAAATGAAACATTTTATAGAAATCCCATTTCTAAACATTTTAAGTATGACTTTTGGATATGGTTTCTGTAAGGTTGTTGCGAGAGAGATTTTTGATGACGTTCAACAGTCTGTACGTGAAGATGAGGGCTGATTGGTTCTGCACCCTCCCCGCCATCTTTGAGGTTGGAGAGTGGAGACAGGCCAGGCTGAACTCTCGCAGCCACTCCCACTGCAAGTTTGCAAGAAGCACTTTATTGTGGGTCTCAGGCTCCACATCAGGAAAGTGGGGTAATTATCTTTCTGCTTCCTCTATTCACGGGTGTGGAGGGAACTTAAATGCAATGATACATGTGAATGAATAAAGAGTATTTTTTTTTGAGAATGATGACATTGCAGGGTTTTTTAAAGTTTTTTTTTAATGTTTATTTATTTTTGAGAGAGAGAGAGAGACAGATTGAAAGTGGGAGAGGGGCAGAGAGAGAAGGAGACACAGAATCCGAAGCAGACTCCAAGCTCTGAGCTGTCAGCCCAGAATCTGATGTGTGGCTGGAACTCACAAACTGCGAGATCACGACCCAAGCCAAAGTCAGACGCTTAACCAACTGAGCCACCCAGGTGCCCCAGTACAGTTTTTTTTTTTTTTAAATGTTTATTTTGAGAGAGAGAGGGAATGCAAGCAGAGGAGAGAAGCAGAGAGAGAATCCCAAGCAGGCTCTGTGTTCAGTGTGGAGCCCAACACGGGGCTCAAAACTCACAAACTGTGAGATCGTGATCTGAGCCAAAATCAAGAGTCGAGCACTCAACTGACTGAGCCACCCAGCACCCCAACCATACAGTTTAAAGTATTTTTTTTAACGTTTATTATTGAGAGACAGAGACAGAGCACGAGCAGCGGAGGGGCAGAGAGAGAGGGAGACACAGAATCTGAAGTAGGCTCCAGGCTCCGAGCTATCACCACAGAGCCCAACGTGGGGCTCAAACCCACAAACCACAAGAACATGATCCGAGCTGAAGTCGGACGCTCAACCAACTGAGACACCCAGGCGACCCAACCATACAGTTGTTATTAGAGATGGACAGGCCAGAACGTTCCGGTTAAAATGGTGTGGTATAAGGTGCAGAGTGACCATGTCCCATCTGATTGAGAATTGGTTCAGTTTTCTGAATGTTGGACCTTCACTCAAGAGGCAGCATCTGGACCAACAACGTGCCAGGGAAAGAGCGTGGATTCTGGGGCTGGGTGGACACTGGATCAAATTCAGGGTCAGTCATTAACTAACTGGATGACTTAGGGTCAGTCACTTCCATTTATACCTTGATTTAATTATAAAAAATATTGCTACCAGGGGCGCCTGGGTGGCTTAGTCGGTTAAGCGTCCGACTTTCGCTTAGGTCATGATCTCACGGTTCGTGGGTTCGAGCCCCGTGTCGGGCTCTGTGCTGACTGCCAGCTCAGAGCCTAGAGCCTGTTTCAGAGTCTGTGACTCCCTCTCTCTCTGACCCTCCCCTGCTCACGCTGTCTCTCTCTCTCCTGAAAATAAATAAAACATTTAAAAAAAAAAAAAATATTGCTACCAGTGCTGGCCTCTAAGGATTGTGAAACTATATCCTAGTAGATGCACAGTCAGCACAAACTATTATTTATTTCTGTTCTCCAGGAAGGGCCCCAAAGGAGACTTGAAACATGAATGAAATCCTGGTATTGTGCCATTTATGACGCGTCGGGGGGTTGGTGCTCTACGTATTTTCTGAGCCATTTTATCAAATTTCTTTGAAATGGAGAACAAATCACAGCTCCCCTTGCCCCCACCAAGTACATGCCCCAAGTATGTATACTCAGCAATTGGTTCTTGTCATTAAATTGTTCTGGATTTCATTGTTTTTGTGTCTGAACTTGGCTACTAGATTGAAGATTCAACTAGTAGGAAGTTGGGCTCTAGGAGATGCCTCAGTTTTCTCTTATAAATGGCCAATCAGGTTTCTTTGGACTGGTGCATTTATTCCGATTTCCGTGATGAGTTCGGTATGAGGCATTGATTCATTGCACAGGTATGTATCGGGCGCAGGCTCTGTCCCAGGTCTTGCTGGGTTGTGAGCATGTTGAGTGAGCATGTGGGTGATAGAATGGGGCACTCCAAAATGCATTTAACAGGTGTTGCAGAAGGAGGGAATTGAGAAATGAGAAAGAGGCAATATTTGAAGAGAGAAAAGCTCAGCATTTGTCAGAATAGGTGGCAGCCATGATCATGGGGAGATTGAGAAGAAATGACAAGTCTCAAACCAGACAAACTTAGACACAGTGAAACCAGAGAACCTGAGAAGCGGACTTGCCAATCAGAGAAAAGATTACTAATGAGAGTTCATGAGACTGACAGCAGATTTCTTCCAGTGTTACCATTGAGAAGATAGGAAAATAGTAAGCGCCGAGTGAAGTTAAACCCATCTGAACTATAACTTAAGAGTGAGCTGAAATATTTTGAGTTGAACGTTGTGAGTTATCTCTGACACTTCATGAGAGCCTTTACCTCCACCATTCCTTTTTTGGAAAAGATTCCTAGAAGGTTGTATTTGAAGAAGAAAATTGAATCCCGCAAGGGAGAAGTGAGCTGCAAAAAGGAAGAATGAGTGAAGATATTCGCAAACATGCAGATAAAACCTTAAACACTGACATTATCAAACAATAATAAAAATGGCTAGTTTCAGAAGGAAAGAAGGCAAGGCAAGCAAGATGCAAGCTGAAAGAGTTGATTACAGATATTCAAGATACCATTCAGAAGAAAGAGATTGTGGTTTACTTTAGATCTTGTTTCCAAGATCATCTTATAAAGCCAGCATAACACCTTTACTAAAACCAGACAAGCATAATACTTTAAAGGAGAATTGGAGGCTGAATTCATCTAATATAGATACAAAGATGTTGTAATTGAATATAGGAATATATTAATAAAACTAAACATGACCAAGTTGTATTTATACTAGGAACACAGGATAGCTCAGCACCAGAAGAGTTAATGATATAACTCATGATGTTAAAAGAATGAGGAGGAAAAGTAATACCCTTCTCTCGGCAGATGCAGAAATAGATTTAATAAAATTCAACACTGATGTGTAATAAAAACATCTGAAGTGGTCAGTAATAGAAGGGAACTTCTATAGCCAGACATAGCTAGCAAATACCCATAATATCACATTCAATGAAATAATTGAGAGCATTTTTTAAAAGACAGGAGCAAAGTACCTATGTCTACTCTCCCCATTTCTTTTCAACATCGTACTGGAAGTTTGAGCCAGAGAATAAATAACAAGACACAAATAACCTGTAAGGATCAGAAAGCAAGAAGTCAACAGCTACTCTTTGCAGATGACCTAGAAATCAAAAGGATCAACAAAAGAGAGATACAAATTAATTTTTTTTAAAAAAATCATTTTTTAAAATGATTTTTTAAATCATTTGCATTCCCGCCAATCAGAAAGAAACAGTTTCCTGCCAGTCAGAAAGAAACAGTTATGTGACCTTTAACAAGAGAGTAGATAGTTAGACAAGAGTAGATAGTTAGATAAAATTCTGGAGAGCAATTTACAACTAATGACCTGGAGATCTCTGTGACAATAGGGATACATCTACAAATATGTAATATTGAATAAAGACAAACTTCAGAAGGATGTGTACAGTTTGGTTCCACTCATAGTTTAGGAATACATTCATATGTAGAAAGTGAAAGTTACACCCAGTTAAGGATACTTGTTACTTTTTAAGGGAAAACAGTGAATGAGCAGCATGGGTTTTGCATCGGTATCTGTATGTTTCCTAGGTATCTGTATGTTTCCTAAGCTGCATTGTGTGCACATGTATACAATTCAAGGTTGTGTGTTGTGTGTGCTCCTCTCCTGCAGTTGTTTCCTTGTGGTTGTGGGAGGGAAGGAGGTAATTAGAGTTCTTAGTCCGTGTGTTTCGCTTCTCATTTTGTTTCCTGCCCTGGTTCTCAGTGGGCTTCTTTCGGACCTCCTCATCTGAAATCTCACCATGCCTGTCAAGTTTCCTCATCTTCCCTTTCTTTCTTCTTTACCACTCAGTACTATCGATCTTACGTATTTTATGTATTTGTCTTGTTTGTGCCTTTGACCCCATCAAAGTATAAGCTCCGGGACGGTTGGGACATTGGGGGACTTTTTGTTCCTATTCATTGTTGTATCCCCAGCACTAAATCAGTGCCTGGCACATAGTAGGCTCTTGATAAATACTTGTTGCATAAATAAATATATAAACAATTGATTAAACATGTATTTCAATAAAAATATCCTGCTCCTTGATATTTCTGTTTTATAGCCTTAATTAACTGTTTTACTGTAGCCATATTAAAAAAGAAAACAACTATATGATTTCACACCATTCTTTCTTTAAAGATTTTTAAGATGTTGTTTATTTATTTTGAGAGAGAGAGAGAAAGAGTGTAAGTGGGTGAGGGGCAGAGAGAGGAGAGAATCCCAAGTGGGCTCAGTGCTGTCAGCATGGGCTTGAATCCACCAACTGCAAGATCATGACCTGAGTCAAAAATCAAGAATCAGACGTTTAGCTGAGTGAGCCACCCAGGCGCCCCACGGTTTTACTCTCTTAATGTGGAATGGTGGGGGAGTACGAAGCCAGAGTTTACTGAGGTTCTAGCTGCTGTTACTGCCATCTTCAAAATCGCCTTATGGGATACGATTTCTTCTTGTGGAAAATAATTAAAAAGTACTAAGAATGACCTGAGTGCAGAATGAGCTTTACTCCTGGTAATGAAACTCCACACGCAAACACACACACAAATCCATGTTTCTTATCTGGCACCTGAAAACATGAGTTATTTCCATTATCTGATAAATCATATGTTTTTTTATCGCTATGAAATATGGACAAGGGTCTGTTGATGATGGATGTAAAATACTGGATTAGAAAGGGCCCATCTCACTCTCCCTGGGGGTTATTCCTCGCTGTCTAATTTGACTCCTGCTTCAAGGACAAGAATTCTGGGGGGGTTTATGGAGGGTTTGTGGTGGGAAAGAAAAGTCCCGGAGACTCCTGATGTTTAAGAAACACATTTGTTGTGGGGCACCTGGGTGACTTAGTCGGTTAAGCGTCCGACTTTCACTTAGGTCATGATCTCGCAGTTCGTGGGTTCGAGCCCCGCGTCGGGCTCAGTGCTGACTGCCAGCTCAGAGCCTGGAGCCTGTTTCAGTCTGTGACTCCCTCTCTCTCTGACCCTCCCCTGCTCACGCTGTCTCTCTCTCTCTCTCCTAGAAATAAATTAAAAAAAAAAAAACACATTTGTTGTTGTTATTGATTCACAAATGAGTTTAACTGTGGAGAGGTTTCCTAGGTACAACTTTAGAAATAGGC